AGGCGGGGCGAGGGGAGGGGGGCAGGGCGGACGGGGCGGGGCAGCACGTGGGTCCTCCTGAACAGCTGGGACGACCTTCCCTGGACCAATCGCCACGAAGGGGAGCTGCGATTGGTCCTGCCCAACAGGAACAGGTGGGCTGTGGCGCTCGGGCTGTGGCGCTGGCACTGAGTTAAGGTCTTCGGGTCCGCTCCGCCGCTGGCTCAGCTATGCCCCCCAGGCCGGGGTCCCCGTGGTCTCCTTGCCGGAGTCTGGGGGCGCGGGCGGGGGGTTCGTCTCTGTTCTGGCGGGTTTGTTCCCGCGGGGTCACCCTCCAGGATCCTCGGTCTTGCCCGCAGACCCTGTAGAGAAAGCTGAGTGGTGGCTGCCGTTTCAGAAGCCCCTCGGGGGTGTTGCCTGCTGGCTGGACTGGGCAAGCTGCCCCTCCAGGGTGACCCCAGCTGCCCCTCCGGGAGACCCCAGCTGCCCCTCCGGGGAGACCCCAGCTGCCCCTCCGGAGAGACCCCAGCTGTCCCTCAGACAGCCTCCGGCCGAACAGGTGGAGCAGTGCCCACACCCCAGGGGAAACGCGAAGCCTGCGGTGGAGGAGCCCCTCGCACGGGACGCAGCCAGGGGAGGGCTGGAGGCACCGCCGGAAGTGAGGGCCCCCAGGGCTGGGAGGGCTGCAGGTCAGGGGCCAAAGGAACTCGGCCTTATCCCCAGGGGCGTGGGGCTCTTTTGTTGAGCAGAGGAGCCCATTTGTTGGTTCTGCACTGACAAGTGCTGTCAAAGGGTCTGAGCCCTGCAGGGGGCGCTCCTGGGCTTTCCAGCAGAGGCGGCAACAGCAGGGGGTCTCTGGAGAGATGGGGTCGGCAGTGAAGAGACTTGGGCCAGTCTGGGAGCTGCTCAGGAGGACCCCAGTGTGAGTGGAGGTCCGGGGCACCATCCGCCGCTCCAGACGGGTCAACCTGGGAGGACCACGGGCCCACGCTCAGGTCCACTCTGCTGTTGCTGCCTTGAAATATTTGGTAATTTATGGACGAGGGGCCTGGCGTTTTCGTTGTGCGTTGGGCCCTGCAGATTATGCACCCTGTCCTAGGCCATGGTGGGACACAGGAAGGGGAGCAGGCTGGGGAGGCCCAGAGTGAGTCTGTCGGACTCAGCCCGAGGGCAAGCATAGATACACCCTGTGCACGGAGGGGTCAGGGAGAGGGAGGTGGGTGGTGGGTTGGCTCTGAGCTGTAGTGTGTGGGGTGTCTGTACCTGGCCAGCTTGCCTTCAGACCGCGTCTCCACACTTGCTTTCATCACCAGAGGACAGCCCTGCTGCTTTAGCCAGAAATTGAGTAGGTCCTTCCTAGTACCTCCCTTGTCTTTATTGATCCCAAAAATCCTAAGATGACTCAGTTCCCAGATGACACCCTGCTTCCTAAGCAGAGGAAAGAACTGGAGTGTACCGGCCAGCAAGGGGCCTGCCGAGTGCAGCTGCTGTTTGCCTTCTGACCCCACATCCAGGGGATGATGTACCTTTACCCCAGGAAGAGACTTCCTCTGCACTGCACAGCCATCCTCAGGGACTCCTGGGGGCTTCCTGGCACAAACTCTGGTGAGCTCCAGGTTGTAAATGTCCATCCTCCTCCTCTGACCTGTCCTCAGCTGAGAGGGACCTGCTCTCACCGAGAGGCACTGTCTGGTTCCATGAATGGGTGGTGATGGTTCCCACATGGGCCACTGGGCGCTGCCTCAGACATCTCTAGGGAGAATCAGGTCCCTATAGAGGGAACTCTGCATTTAAAATGATCTCTATTGTCCCATCATGACCCAGTTCAGCCACACAGAACTCCCTGTGCCCCTCAGTTATTTTAATCCACAAGATAGGGCCAAAGTAGCCCGGAGAATGTCCCTGACAGCCACATTAAGGCTCTCAGGCCAGAGGCGGAGACCCAGCAGAGGATCCCATTTGTTGGTCCTGCATTGACAAGTGCTGTCAAAGGGTCTGGGGCCTGCAGGGACCCAGCCTCCACTCAACCATGTGGACCATCCCAGCATGTACTGCTGTCCCTGCTCCAAGTCTGGGCAACACAGCTGTCAGACTTTCCTGCCACCGAGAGGAGGCATCCTCATCTCTTTATCGTGAAGGGGGAACATGTGGCCTGGGGTCTCCACAGAGAGCTCCCAGCACGCACAGGGACTTCAGGAAGGCCCTGGATTCCTGAGCCCTGGGCCATTCTTCCCTCTTTCACCCTGGCCCTGCCCCGGGGAACAATGGGGGAGGGGCATTGAGGTTGGGCAGGCCAGGGCTCCACCTGCCCCCCTTGCCTTCTCTGGCCCTGGAGTCTCCCAGGGGCCTCTACCAGCTGGCCCTCACGCACAATTGTAGATCATCACCTCCACAGGATTGGTCCTAAGCAGACCATGTCTCCCGCAGCCACCAAAGGAAGTACATTTTCTCCCAGGCCACCTGGGGCCCCACTCTGGATGTCTTCCTTGTGGGCAGTTAATATCCCAGCAGGACACCCCTGCAGCTCCACCCTGCAAGACCCCACCCTCGTCTCCAAGGCCAGAGGGGCCCTTCAACTCTCACACACCAGCTGAGGCCCTGGAAATAGTTTGACAACTCTTCCCAGGAAGCTCTGGGAAGGCCCATAACTCTGTCCCATGAGGCTCCTGGGTTTGATTGCTGTTGTTTCAGAGTTTTTATTTATTTTTAGTTCAAATTTATCAGATTCAAATTCAGTAAAAAAATTTTGATGAATACAAAAGGTTAAAATTAGGGGTTTAGATGACAATCACATGAGCCTCAGTAGCCAGTTTACATGTGCAATTTCTTATTGGTTGCATAGTGTTGAGATTTTCTTGATCAGGATGTTTAATTTTGGAGATTTCATCCCTCTCTGACCCAGACATAACTTGGGTTCTTATCATTGCCTATCTGGCCAGATGAGATTCTGGCACAACCTTTTTCCTCTGTTTGATGAGAAAAGGAGTGGCTTCTTAAAAGAGTGTGAAAAATAAACATCATTCAATCAAGTTGGCAGGAGGCAAAGCAGGGAGGGTTGGGCACAGGCTGGACATGGGGTAGAGCCTAGGCTGAGGCCAGCAACCTCAAGAACAAAGCCCAGTGCCCCAGGCTCTCTTGAAGACCCCCTCACCCCAACCCCCGCATTGAACATGCAGTCCCTGGAAACCTTTCACACAGTGAAGACTGCCCCTGAAATTTTCCCCTCTGAGGGGCTGGGGAGACACTGGGGAGGAAATGCTGAGTCACATGGGCCCCACAGCTCCTTCCACACAAAACTCTACTGGAGGCCTGTTAAATATCCCAAGCGACAGGTCTCCCAGATCTGGGATGGGGCCGTGTCTGGCTGGTGACTGTTTTAACAAGAACTCGGGTGATTCTCATCCTCAGGAAGTTAGGAAGCACTGGGTTGGTAAGGCAGAACTGTCTGCCTATATGGTCCTTACAGAGGAATTGTGCCGCCCTCTCACTTAGACTTTGTGCAAGGCATTGGATAGGGAAGACCTCACCATCTTGGGGACCCCTGAGCAGGGACATCACAATTTATATAGTCTTATAATTACCTTTTTACCAGTACTGTTTTTTTCATGTGAATTGAAATTACCATCTGAAATCACTTGCTTTCAGCCTGAAGAACTTTAGTATTTCTGATAATGTAGGTCATCTAGGAACAAATCCAATCTTTTTACCTGAGAATGTTTTATGCCTCCACTTTTGAAAGATAGCTTTGCTGGATATAAAGTCTTAGTTGAGGTGTTTTTTTTTTCTCTGAGTTCTTTGAGTATGTTATCCCCCTGCCTTCTGGCTTCCATTATTGCTGGTAAGAATTCAGCTGTCGATTTACTGGAGTTCTCTTGCAAGTGATAAGTTGTTTCTCTCTTGCTAGACCCAGGCATCTCTGAGTGACACCCCTGCTTTAGGAGCTGAACACTCCTAAAGTGGAGTGGGGGGCAGTAGCCAGAGGTCTTCTGTCTGCATCTCCTGGAATGGCACCACCAACTTATGAGCTGGACAAGGTCAGTCAGAGCCCCTGTATTCTTGGTGACACTTCATCCAAGGTAGAGGCTGCATTCCATGAGTAGAGGCTGATGGAAGAGATCTTCTGAGATCAGTCTTGGTTGAGATAACAGATTCTTGTTTTTTTTACTGAACTTTCATGCAAAGATGTTTTTCATTTGCTGTATGCCTTTAGCACCATTTCCAAAGGCTTTAAGTGGTTGGCTTTTTAACAGTGATTTTCACCTGTTATTCTGAATAGCATGTTCACAGAGCTTCTCAGGCTGTCGTGCCAGAAACTGATCTTTCCCTACTTTTTAATGTAAAGTAAGTGCTAAACACTGCTCATCTTTGAACTTGTGCTGCACTGTGTCAGCATGCAACAACAGCTGATAGGGGGCCTTCATTCTCCTGCTCTCCATCTGCAGCCTATGGCAGCATCTGGATGTACCCACCTGGAAGCCCAGCTCACTGTTGCTGGGAGTGGCAATGCATCTTCCCTCAAAGCTTCATCTGGTCCCTCATTATCTTTTTTCAACTTCTGCTTTTAAGTAGTATCTGTAATGATCATTCATTTGGCCTTTTCAGTCACTTGGAGAGTCTGGGGAACAAGGTACCCTATACTTAATTGGCACTTAGAATTAGTAATAACCTCTCAGTTTCTCACTTTGCACTGCCCTTGGAAAACTCCACAAGGTCCTTCCTAAACATTTCACAGACTCATGTAAATAGATTCCCTCATTAAACTCTGAAAGACAGAGCTGGATGCAGAAAACCGGGGCAGTGAGCACGCAGGGCTTCAAGCCTGGCATGAACTCTTACCCCCACTCCACCTATAGGAAGGAAACCTGAGGCAGGAATTGTAACTGCAGATGTGCACACACACATCTGGGAGGAGGTTCACTGCAGCACTGTTGAAAGAACTATGATGGACAACAGCAATTGAGCAAAAGCTACCTTTAGTCATGACACACCTGTACAGTCATTAAAACATGTAGAAGAATATATGTAACAGATTAAAAAGTCTGTAATTTATTAAGTACAAAAGCTGATTATAAAAGTATATGATTCTAATTTTGTAAAATATTTTAAAAGGAAAAAAATCCCCAAAAGGATTTACGTCAAATACTAATGCTGCTATATTACTCAGAGGTAGGATTATAGATTTTCTTCTTTACACTTTAATGTGCTTTTTAGATTTTATGCTGTAAGCATAAATGTTTTTATAGTCAGAAAAAAGTAATACACAATAAAATCCATCCTATTTGGTATCATTTAAAAAACCTTTTCACACATTTCAAAATGCAGAATTACAAAATCAATAACTTTTATTAACATTATGATATAAAAAATTTTAGTGTGATATACAGAATTCCCAGAGAGTAATCTTAAAACATTTTAATGTGCTTCTTAAAGTCTTAATTTACAAGACACCTTGTTTTACTGACACTGACCTTTCAATACAAAAATTTTACAATATTTGCTACAAAACTACAACATTAATATTAGGGTTAGGTAGTTCTTTCCCCTGCCGGCCATTCTATTATAAGGAATATTTGTTATCTGTATGTCAAACAATAAGTTACACAGACTATGTACATAATTACAATAGATATTACAATTTCAGTATGTTGGAACATAACTAACTGCAGTCCACCACAGCAGGCAAACAGAGCTACAATGCACCTGCTATTGGTAGCCAAATAAGAGTAAAATGTGAGAGTTAGCCTATTTAGCCAGACCTATTTGGTGGAGAATTTTAAATGGTAGAGAATTAATAACAGCTTTGTTAGGCACTGATTCAGGCTAATTCCAGAAAAACCTGGTTGTTTCTATGAAGCATGCATGATCCATAAACTTTCCCATCCACAGTTCCCCCCAAAACCCAACAACTTCATAACATACTCTTTATTAGCTATATAAAAATACTCTATGTCTTAGATTTGAGCTTCACTTCAAATTCTTAGAAGTTTCTAAAGGATTTTATATTCTCTTTGATTTAGGTTTACTATAATATCACTCCGTTTAGTCATAACTGAATATGGTTTGGCCAAATTTAATAGGCATACAACTCAAAATGTAAAAGCCAGGTTGAGGGTAACCAGGCCCACCTTCATCATGGGGTAAGGCTCTCCCCAGAGCTAAACTGCACTGAGGATGTGAAAACCTCAGACACTGTCATCAATGCTTCCAAATCTTTCCGAAACAGAGTATCTTCCGAAACAGAGTATCTACCTTGACAGCCCCAATGCACTTACTGAACATTAGTGACAATGTGTGCAGACAGTCGGGCACACCTGTTTCAATAAACTGGGAGAGAGGAAGCACCTTGTAACTAGAGTGCCTGGTTTCGGGCCCAAGAGCCAGGGTAGGAGGAGTGGGCAGGTCTTGCTGCCCTTCCCATCAGCCTCTTTGGGCTCTGTTCCTCCCTGTGAATCAGTTGTACTGTGGCCTCAAGTCCTTACTAGCTTAAATTCTACATATAAACTTGTCATTTGAAGTGGGAATAAATAATTGAATTTTTAAAATCAAGAACTATATTTTTAGTCTAAAAAGTGCAAACTTGCAATACAGTAGAGAACAAATTGCACACCTGCAATTCCTCATGATACCCATGGCCAGGCCTTTCGTTTCCTTTCCCAGTCACCCTAACTGTTAAAATACTGACATTTATGTTTTTGTAAATGTCCTTGAAGATTAAAATATTCCTTCAAATAATTCAGGAAGTGGCTTCTCAAATAAGATTTGGGGAACTTTGAGACGAATCTCTAAAAGTAGGGTAAGGGGTGCAGTATTTCGTGATGACTGCAGTCCTTTGTCCTGGTGGCTACAGACACACTGCAGTGTCTTCACATGTTCTAACACCTTCACATGGTTCCAACCCCTGGAAGCCTCACATTGGACAGAACCCTGGAGCTGGTGAGAGGTGCTCACATGTTGTAGGCAACATAGATTGGATCCAGCTGGTCAGCCAGGAAGCCATCACGCAAGTGCATGCGTTGCTTCTCACCCCGAGAGTTGATGGGGATCACGCCTGGGTCGACAATGACCACCACACCGACAACCAGGTGATGCTCCTCCAGCACCACATTTGTCACTAGGGCCACTAGGTCCAGTGCGTCCTGCTCCAGCCCGTCCAGCTCCACCACCACAACCAGCAGGTTGGTCCAGGTGAACACGGCACTGCAGGGAGAAGACAGATGGCATCACAGGGCATGGACATCAGCTTCTGAGGACCAACAGATACATGGGAAATGATGCCAAACAGAGGAGAGTAAAAATACAAGTATATTTATTGACACTGCGTTGCTGCTGAACATCGTTCACAATTGAAAGGCTAGGCTAAATGTGCCGTCTAGGACTATCTATTCTAATGAAAGTTCTTGCTAAAAATTAGAAGCATTCATTATTTGATGTTGAAAGCTGAGCCTCTCCCAATGCAAGCTCCCTACAAAGTGAAGAAATTATGAATCACAACCATTTAAATGAGAAAATTCACATTAAAAGCAGAAACACCAGGAAAACTGTGGAGACCTCACACTTTGCCTGTTCATTCAGGGTCAAACGCTTGGTTTAAAACTGACTAGGAAAAAAGGAAAGCCCAAGCAAAACCAAAGGGCTGCACAAGGGGTCTCTGGTGCGTGTTTCCTAGAGCAGGTCTGGAGAGCCCAGGGCCAGCTCTGGGAGAGGAGGCTTTGCCAGCATGTGCCTGAAATTGGGGTCTGCTAGAAAAGTGACCAGGCAGATGGCCCTCAGTCCCTGGCTCTGCCCCAGATGAGGGCCTGGGAGGGACTTGCCCTCCTCTGGGTTCTTACCACTCGGCGATGCTCCTGTGTGCTCGGATCACAGACGTCTCGATGTCGATGGGGTGGTACCGCATGCCTCTCAGCTCCAGTGTTTCATCCAGAGACCCAACCACATAGAGTGCGTCATGTCGCTCTATGAAGGGCAGTTTGCACACCTCAGAAAGGCACAGTGCAATCTGGGCACCCTCCACACATCTGTGTCAGCCTGAGTCGGGCTCTCTGGAACAGGGAGCTCACTATTCCAACATCACTTAAAACCAAGCTTCCAAATGGGTGAGGCGTGCAGCAGAGCCTGATAAAGGTGCTGTCCATCCCCTTGATTCCAAAGAATTACGTCAATGTGTGAATATATATTTAAAAATAATATTTACTATTTCTGGAAACAAAACAGCATCTACAGGGGCTACCAAAAGTTCTGACTTGATTTGGCTGGCCTGCTGGGGCCTAAGGACTTTGCAGTTATGACGGGTCGTGTGTGGGGAGGGTTACCCACAGCTGGTGAAACATGCAGGTGGCTCTGCCTAGGGCTCTGCCTGGGGAAGGACTTGACAGCATTACCAACAACCCCACAAATTCAGCAGAGGCCGAGGGTCCAAGAACAGTAAGGACGGTCACAAAGGGAAAAATAGTAATTTTCAGAGAACACCACTGCCAGAGCTCATCCTTTACCCCACATCCAAAGATACAAGCTCCTTGCAAGGGGTGTGGTGAGTCAGCAGGAATCCCTGAGATGCTGCACGTGCCTGTCAGGCTCACAAGCTGCAGCAGCAGACCCTGTGGGCTGTGGACAGAGCCCCTCACCCCCAACAGTGCTGACACGGGGTCACCATAACCCCTCACCTCCACTGGCATCAGTGAGCTCCGTTCTCCGAAGGAAGCCCAAGTAGCCAGTCCTTGCCCAAATGGTCTGGGTGTCTCCAAAGCTCAGTCGGGCACTGAAGTGGTCAGCATGAAGTGCTTCCTCTCCATGGACAGTGTAGTAGCCTGTGGCATTGTGGGGGCTGCTAACCCAGATCTGTGGGGCCCAAAGGACAAGAATGAGCTGAGCACAGGTTATCATGAGACATCCACTCGCCAAGAAAACTTAAAACACTGCAAAAAGGCAGGGCATTTTCAGTGTGGCTTATCCTGTGAACTAAGTTAAAATTGCAGGTACGGAAAGCAAACAAGTAACTTTCTCTCCTTCAAATGGAGCGTTCCTCTCCAGGACTCTGTGATGTAGATGCCCTCACAGGGTGACTCCCGCTCCTCACATCAAACTACTGTTGTCAATGAGGACGGGGATTGATGTACAGGTCTACATGGGCAAGAGTGATGGAGTGAGGCTCACTGAGTGGGCAAACCCTGCACCAGACTTACCTGTATATGTGTGAATTTATATACATCCATATACTCTCGGGTGCACACATGCTAGCAGTACCCAGTGTATTGGGGCCCCTTGGGGTGTCCTTCTAAATACAGAGCCCATCCAGGACCCACAGTCACCTCCCCAGATCAAGCACCTGGCTCTAGATGTCCCCACAAGGCAGCATCCTAAGAAGAGACAGGGAAGCTGACAGGGGCTTCTGCCACAAGGGGTGGGGCCCAGGTTAGCACAGACCCTCCATGACCATCTTGGGGGCACCATGTTACCCTAACAGGCCTAGGTCCAGTGGCCAGAAGGGAGGCCCCACACCGACCCCACCCAACCCTGGGACTGGCACATCTTCCCATTTGGACATCGAGCAACCCCTGGGAGTCCCCCAGGCTCACTCACACCCTCGTCTTAGTTAGACTGAGACTAGGCAGTGTCTGTATGACTGCCCTTGAGTGCCATCTACCAGGACCCTGGAGGTTGTCCACACCAGAGACCCTGATGCCAGGACATAGGTTCCATGGCGTGTCCTTAGGGCCTGGAACTAGGAAGATAAGACCATTCCCATCATAACAGAACCAACGTGGGCACTCAGGCTGTGACCTGCACTCTCCCTGCCACCCTGGCCTCCGGTAGTAAGTCCCACCTATCTTGTTACACTGGATACATATGCATAAATGCCCATATGTCAATACAATGATTCTTGCACAGCCTGTGTGTGTCCAGGGGACGTGTCCTCAGGAGTAGAGGACCCTGCCTCCCATCTCAGTGCCTGTGCCGTGCCAGCCCCTCCTTCAGGGCTGTGGCTCCTGGCTTGGTGCAGGAACTGTGTTTTAAGACACAGCTGCTTTCTCCATGTTGCGGGTTCCTTTGTGGCTTCTAGGGTCTCCAAGTACCTACAAAACTCAAGGTTTCTCTCTGCTGGTAGGGAACCTGGAGTGGAGACTCATCCCATGAATCCACAAAATCCTACCCAAGTACTGGGTACAGGAGCACAAATGTGCCTGGGGGATAAGGACCAAAGAGCTTGGCAGATGGGAAGAGGTGGAGGAGCAGCTCCTGAGGTGCATGAGGCTCCAGAACCCAACCCCCAGCCTCACCTCTCCCAGGTGTGAGTCTCCAAGGGGCCCTTTGGTCTCAGTGTGTGCGATGATGACTTTCACTCCAGGGAGGATCTGGAAGGAAAACCGTGCCCATGTCAAAGACAACACAAGACTCCAAACTCAATGACATTAAAACCAACAGCCCTCAGAAGCTAATCCAAACAACACAATGTGTACATGTAAGTGATCAGATTTAAAGCCAACCCAAATTTGAATCTGAACAGAAATAAGACTTTAATTGATAAAAATATATGTGAATCTTAACAAAATGACCCTAGTTCCTAAGAATGGACCTTATTTTGGATGTTGTGAGAGGCAGAGAGGGTCTATATAAGCATCTTTTCTACTTGGGATCTTCCAACAAGGCCACTCGAGGATTGCCTGCCTCTTGTGGGGCACACAAGTGCAGAAGGCCACCCAGTCCCACCGCTCAGCTGCGCCCCAGCCCAGCCATGCAAGGACTCTGTCCATGGGTTTCATCAAGCCTCCTAGTTCTGGGCTGGAACTCTAACCTTGAAGAACCCTTCCTGCCCATGACTCAGAGTCAGTCCAACCACTGGTCACCTGCTCTGTATCGACTCAGACAGACGGAGGCACCAGCTCATACCCAGGAGCCATGGAAAACATTCCAGGGCAGGTGCCTCAAATCAGGGAACGCCCCCCCCCCCCCCCCCGACCTGGTCCTGGGGAGACTTCACTGGGCTCAGGTCAGACCATGTGGCTGCTCCAGGCATGGTCACCTGTTCTGTGTCCTGTTTCCTCACATACAAAATGATGATGACATTGAGGTCCCCCAGGCAGGTGGGAAGGGATGAGGGGTCAGTTACAGGAAGGGCGTGAGTTTAGGCTGTTGCCTACGGTCAGTGCCAGACCCTCTTCTCCTCCCACTGTTGTTGCATCCTTGCCACACACTACCCGTGGGACAGTCCTGTTTTCCTGAATGCTGCTGGAGCCTCTGACCTCTCTCCATGGGGGCCCACCTGAACCCTAAAGCCAGAGCTTTTTCCAGAACACAAACCCCTCAGGCATAACTCATTTGAAACTTAATAATACAGGGGCAATATGCTGAGCATACAAAAAGGATAAGCAAAGCTGTCCACTGAGCGTGGGCTCCAGCAGTGTGCTCGGAAAGAGGAGATCATTGCCCATATTCACCACTCAGCTGGTCTCCTCCAGGTGATGCTAAAGACAGGCAGGCACATGGGAGTGTGCTTCCACAGCCTTGCACCTCCTCCTCTTCCCCCAGCTCGACTGTAGCTATGCTAGTCTCCCTGTGATGATGCTCCCTCCCCAGGATGTTTGACTAGCTGAGCCCTCTGCCCTGGGTCCCTGTGGCTGCTCCTCCTCTTCCCTACTACATGCACACGAGCTCCTCTCCAGGCACCTTGCTGCCTCCCCAAAGGGATCTGTAGCCACAGGAGTGTGTAAGCAGTCTTACACAGTCGGGTAGCCCTGTAGGCTGCATGGATTGGGAGCTTCCTGTTCCTGGCCATGCTGGGCACACAGCCCTGCCCACTATCCTGCTGTCTGCTGGCCATGGCACACCATCTTCATCACATGGCGTCATCGGGCCTCCCCTGGTTCTGAGGATGCCTGCTCCCCTGGGTCTCTGTCTGCTGACCCATCTCATGGTGCTCACATTTCTTACCTGGGCACCCTCAGATGGCCTCACTCCTCCCACCCCCATCCCTCCCAACCCCTCTATGGGCTCCCAGTCTTCTGGACTGGCTTCAATGGAAAATTGCAAGATGGCTCTAGGACTCCACCCACTGCCCAAGGCCCTGGAGGGAACCACTTTCTGGCTGTCACCTGGGCCAGGGCCTGAGTTGGGTAGCTGTGCTGGTCCTTGCTCCAAGACTGTGAAGACACTGGGCCCTGAGCCAAGGGGCCCTATGGCCTCGAGCCCCAGCAATGGGAGTTCCTTCTGTGTTTCTGCACCCACAGTCCTCCTTTCTTGGCTTTGTGCTTTCGATGTGTGTTGAACTAAGACTTAACCTAGTCCTTGTGTGTGTTTGCAGGGAGGAGGAGGCCTCCTGCGTTAGCCCAGCCCAGCCTGACCACAGCCGTCTGTGTTCATCAGGAGAAGTGCAGTTTCCACTACCTTTCCAGACTCCGTCAATGGCAGACTGTGCGGAGAACCCCGTTCTACCAAACGTACCCTAAAAATTAACAAGGGAAAATTTTCAGAATAAAATTTACTATATAGGTAATGACCTCTAAAAAGGCAACTCATAAGATAATCAGAAATTATCACTATGACAGTCAGTCTGTTGACAATGACCTATTGTAACCTTGGAACAGTGACTTCAGGTGCCCTCGACTTGTCTGGCTCACCTGGCACAACTCAGGGCAGAAGCTTGTTCTAAGTATTTGGGGGGCCGTCCCCAACCAGCTGCCCTGTCCACAGTAATCTGTCTACCTTGAACTGCAGCATGGCCACATTTGAGGGCTCAGACCAGGATCAGAGCTTCAAAGCTGAGAGGGACCCGGACCCCCAGCACATGTTTATTGATGTAAAAACTAAGTCCTGTCTTAAAATGGTATTGTGGTAAAAAGTCCTTGCCATTAGTTGCTTTACTTGTCCTCAACCCCATTAAAAGCTAAATGCAAATGTTTGGTCACTCCTATCACCCTTCCTGATCACAGGAACAACAGATAAAGGGACATGGACTGAATCTCGAGGACAGAGTGACGCAGAGGGAGACCCAGGTTTCCCCAGTAGAGCTTAGCCAGCCACCTGCTAGTCCAGGTGCCAGGAGGGCCAGTCAGGGCAGACCCAGCTGCACAACTTCACCAGTGGCGTTACCTGTCGTGGCGCAGCGCCCTCATGTCCACGTAGACCGTTGTGGGGTCCGGGCCAGCCGTGCCCTGGAAGAAGAGCAGCACGTCTGCATCTACACGGCACAGCCACCTAACAGCTCCTCCCGCTGCCGCCGGAAGGCAGCATCTCTGCTCTAGCAGAGAGCCTGCCCAGGGACACTGATGCCTTCCATCCAAACATTACATGGCTTGATAACATCGAGTGAAACACTAGTGACACTGAATGAACATGCCAAACTGTACAATTTTACATGTCAGTTCTCACAGCTGGTTTCTACGTTATGGTGAAAACACCATCACAGGATTTGAGGGCATTTGCATCCAGCTATCGGTCAGGCTTGGCCTCTCCCCAGCTGACCTAATTCTGCTGAGGGCTGAGCACAGCAGAGGCTCAATCAGGGTCAACAGAGTGATGTTCTCCCTTTCCTCACTTCTGACACTTGGGCCCTGGCTGAAGGGTGTTATTTTCTGTTTTATTAGATAAGGAACATCAAGTTAAATGGACACTCTGCTCAACATCACTCAATGAAGATCCCAGACAACGTAACAAAAACTGCTTCATTGAGATTCAACAGCCCTTCCCTCCAGAGGCAATGCTATGAATGTTAAATTTTTTAAAAAACAGTTTTGCTTAAATTTTTTTATAGAGGCATTTTATAATATGTAAAATAATATTCAGTGTGAGCAAAGTCAGACAGCAAAAGAAGCACGTATTTGTCTGAAGTTGAGGAGAAGGCCACAGGAACTCATGGGGGAAGCACAGAGGTACCTCGAGGTCAAGGTCGTACCTGCTCAGCCAGCTTTCCCAGCCTGTTGGGCTGACAGAGGCAAAGGAGGCCAGCAGAGTGAGACAGGAGGAGACGGCCACAGGAGACAAACAGAAAGCAACAGGCCACGTGAGAAACACACGATAAGAGACAGCAAAATGCGTCACTGCATCTCAAAGGGCAAATGTGATTATCTCATTAAGACTTCTGCAATCACACATGGCATCCCACATGCCAACAGAGAGAGGAGATAACCTTCAAATATCGAGTAAGGAGGACATGCCTTCATTTACAGCTGCTGACTACACACCAAGAGCCTGTCGCTCAGTCCTACTTTCTACAACAGCAGGGTATGAGGAGGGCACCCAGCCCACTTCCTCCTGCCACATGGCAAGGGTCTGAGGCGTGGACTGGTAGCACAGTCTTCTCACGGTTGAGAGGACATCAGCATAAGGGGGAAAGGATGCTGGTCCACAGTTGGCCCATGACAGGAGTGCTCTGAGATGAGGGCCCAGCTGAGCCAAGGCTCCAGAAACAAGAAACAGCTCTACCGGAGCCCTGCTCTGGTTCTGATGCTGCCTTTCCCTCTAACAAGTCTTTTCTATGTGCGTGAGCAGGCATTTCATATAGTTTTAGAAAGAGTGAAATTGAGATACTAGTACAAAATCTGGAAAATAACCAGAGTCACCTGAAGAAGCAGTAAACAGCCCTGCAGTTAGCTGTTCAATTTCTGAAACTTCATGTAAATACCTTAAGTAAAATACCTTAATGTCTCAAATATAATTACAGGTAATACAAATTATCACAATAATGTTTCAATTTAAAATTACTAGGTGTCTTAAAACAGTATTGTTGTTTTAAAAAATTAAATGCATATTTTATCCAACTTAGTGAGATTCTTTCAGATAAGAAATAGTCATTTCAAAAATAATTTTTTTTCCAAATAAGCCTTGTTTGTGAAGAGAATATCTTTTAAAAATAGAACCCTCATAGCTTTCCAAGATAAACTGGAAATGAAACATTAAAGGCTCAGAGAATGAGAAATGGATGTAGCCGGCACAACAAGGAACAGCGACGATTAAAAAACTGTCTGTGTTGGGTGCCCGGCCCCGCCACCTTACCTGGAGGCAGATGGCCACATTGACCCTGCACCCGAACGTGGTGCTCACGGCACGTGCAGGCAGGCCCAGGTCCTTGAACAGCTTGGAGAAGGACTGTGTCAGCGCGATCCGAGGTCGCTCCTCAGCGACCACCATGCATGTGCGCACACACGACAGGTTGACCCCCTTCATCTGTGGGAAGGAGCAGGGTAAGACGGGCCCTGAACACTCCTTTAGGAAGCTCCTGAGGGGACCCATGTGTGACCTGAACATAGACCCCACCTCCTCCGCTGCGGTATCATTCTACAGAATTCTAAGTATGGAATTGCTAGAGGGTACCCATCTGCTCCACATCCACACCAGCCAGTCCTTCAGTTCATCTGGTCATAGCTTCACAGGGCTCTCCCAGATCCTGTCCCAGGTCCTTAGGACCTGACACTTCCAAGATGCCCCCAGTGCTAGTGTCAGACCTGCCCCTTCTGCATGCTCCCTCATGCCCCCCACCCATGTACCTGCCCAAGCCAGCCCCACACGCCTGCCCACCCCATACTCATATCCTGCCACATGGGTGTGTGGATGAAGGGAGCAACTACCTACTACAGAGGTATGGTGGGGAGTGAGTGAATAGCTCCCAGCAGGGTGGGTGCCGGGAAGAAGGGACATAGAGCCAGCATGACTTGGTGCCTGGTAAGGGCTTTCTCTGTTTCCCCAACTGCTTGGAGCTGTGTTGGGAGTCTTTTTTTAGATTCCAATGGCCCGGTTAAGAGCCAACCTAGAAACCCCTGGTTTGGGCACTTCCTAAAAAGGGATGAGGACAGTAGGGCACAAGCAGGCCTGGGCACAGACACACTCACCCTGAGGACACCTGTCTGTGCACCCAGGCCCTTGGTGCACATCTCCATCACCGAGTAGGAGCAGAAGGTAACGCGGGCCTTGTACTGGCTCACGGCTGACAGCCACAGGGACACATTGCTCTCCAGCTCCAGCGGGGGCACCAGCACGGACTGGTGTCCAGAGTAGACACTGTGGGGCCATGAAGGGTCAAGTCAGCTTCAGTCGCTCTGCCCAGGTGTGTCATCTGCGCACCTCAAGCTTTATTGGGTGCCTGCACCCAATGGGCCTGTTGTGGCTGCCTCGTTCTTTTTCGAAGGATAGAACAGGGGGACAATTCTCCCTACTGTACAGAGTTTTGGTGAAAAAAAAACTATGGGCGGAGGGGCATGATGCACAGGGAGTCCTTGTGTCCCTTCAGCACTTCATAAGGACCCAGAGTCACAGTTAGGAATAGGGTCTGGTGGCTGGGGACTCGGTGTTCTAATTCTAAAGACCTGTCGCTACTTCCTAGTATTTGATGGAATTAAGTAGTCTCTCCCTAATTACTAGTAATGGGTAATGTTTGTATTTTTAAAAAAATGTATTTTTACTCTTTTACTCAATTTCAGACCCATACTCAAACCCACTCCACCCCCAAACAAATCCACTCACAATTGTATCTTTGACTTACTGGCCTCAAAAATGCATCTTAGAATGTTAAAGTTCTAAAGAACTACATACAATTCCAATCAAGCAGGAGGGTGCAGCAGCAGGAGTACCTGCACTCACCTGCACACTCTTCCTCCACTCACCTATACACTCTACCTGCACTCAACCATACACTTTACCTGCACACTCTTCCTCCACTCACCTGCACACTCTACCTGCAAACTTATAGGCACATTCTTCCTGCATGCACCTCTGCCTGCACTAACCTGCACACTCACCTGTACTCTTTACCTCCTTACTTGCACACTTAACCTGTATACTCTACCTGCACACTCACCTATACTCTTTACCTCCTTACTTGCACACTTAACCTGTATACTCTACCTGCACACTCACTTATAATCTTTACCTCCACTCACTTGCATCCTTTACCTCCACTCACCTGCAAACTACCTGCTCTCTCTCTCCATTCACCTGCATGCATACCGTACCTGCACATTCACCTGCACATGTACTTCCACTCACCTGCAGAGGCACCACAGGGCAAAGCCAAGGCCACAGTAGGGATCAAGGCAGATGGCGATCTGCCTCGAAGGGTACAGCTCACACTGCAGCTTTATGGAGCGGCACAAGGCACTTGTGGCTGCATGTGACATCTTAGGGGGTAAAACACAAGGTCTGTTCAGTGACGTGCAGGAGGAAAGGGATTAACAACAGTGCCTGCTGTCCGCAGTGGCCAGACACATTTATCTCCTTAAAGGACGACTGGCTCACAACCCCACATAAATCAAATAATACTCAAGAAATGGCACATGAAAATACTTCTACATGAGATTTCAGGATAATAAAGAACTTTAATGAAGCACTTGGCTCCCAGTAAGGATATGGACTCATCAAAGCCACTTCTCCTCAAGGCAAGTCAGCCATAAATCTGAAAGTTCAGGTATTACCATAAAATACCGAAATATGCGTTCATCTCAGACTAACCCAATTTTGGAGTTTACTGGTATTAAGCACATACTTTAAGGAAAAACACTGTTGCTTCAGGCTCTGCGTGAAAAGGGACTGTACACACCCGCACCTAACACCCCTTCTACCCACCCGTGTCAGGGGCTGAAGCAGTGGGAACTATGATCAAAGGACCCACCTTCACACCCGCTAAGATCCCTGTAGTTGACACGCTGAAGTCCAGATAGGCCAGCACATCCGGGGAGGGAGGCCTGAACACATTAGTCACCTTCTTTTTTGGTATATCATCTGTTAATGGGAGACGCCTGTTAACACTACTTCAGGCTCTCACCAGGAGAGATGAGACCATTTCTACCAGGGAGTCCTGGAGAGCATGCTCAGAACAGACATTGGGCTACAGGAAAGCAGACTGTATCTCAGTGGGAAAGCTTATTTTAACCTTCAAGGACAGGTCACATGGCATGGACCTACCAAGACAGTGCTGATACTATGGGACAGGGACAGTGGGCGAGGTGAGTATGGAGGGGAGGACACAGGCCATAAGAGCTGCAGGAAAGTCCTCTGGTCACCAGTGAAAAGGTCAGAGGAGTGCACAGGTCACAGAATCTGGGTTGAGCCAGGATCAACAAAAACTCTGCCCAGTGACAGCATCATGGACATGCTCCCATGCCTGTCGATGAGTATCAAGCAGGTGGTCACAGACAACACGGATCCTGACCTCCTCTCAAAGGTGGTGCCCTGGAGCACAAAGGCACATAAGAAGGATTGGGTCGCCGAAACCGGTTTGGCTCAGTGGATAGAGCGTCGGCTTGCGGACTGGAAGGTCCCAGGTTCGATTCCGGTCAAGGGCATGTACCTGGGTTGCGGGCACATCCCCAGTGGGAGATGTGCAGGAGGCAGCTGATCGATGTTTCTCTCTCATCGATGTTTCTAACTCTCTATCTCACTCCCTTCCTCTCTGTAAAAAATCAATAAAATATATTTTAAAAAAAAAAGAAGGATTGGGTCAAAAGGACTCCAGTCTGCTCATTGCCTGGCATTCATGTGGCTGAGTACCTCGTCACCAAAGGAGCCTGTGCAGTGCTGCTCATTCGGGGTGTCTTGATAAGGTACAAGGACGACACTATCAGCCCTAGGCTGACCTGACGGGCCAAGGCAGAGGGACAGAGGTTTTCAGCCCTTGTCGTTGTCATGGGGTGAGGCAGCACTCACCAATAACAGGGATGAGGGATAGGTGTGTGTTGGGGCGTGCATATGCATGCACACATACTGCGGGACTGTCCATATCCCCACAACTGCTAACTGCTTTGCAGGCATGAGGCAGTGGCATGAGCTACAGGCCACAGGCACACAGGCCTTAGGCAAGGATCTTCGCTTCCCCCTGACAGTAGAGACCCTGCCATGACGTGAGCTATGCTTCATGTCATCCTTCATCCTGTGTCCAACTTTAGTAGGTGGACACGGGCTCCTGGGAACCAGTCAGCAGGCTCCTTTTAGCAGCCTCCTCACCATTTACTTCAGCTGTTCTTACCTAACGTATTTTGGGTGACAACAATGCAATCCCTGCAACAATGAAAGGAAAGAGAGGTTTGTCCTGGTGGGGACCCGTATGCACACCAAAGGCGCTGAAGACACGTACCTGTGTCTAGAATGGTGGGCCAGGTCCGGACGTCTACAGTGGCTGCTGCTTCCTTGGACTTGAGCAGCCGCATGATGGCCTGTGTGGTGAGGACACATGCAGACTTGCTGACCTGCAGAGCACAGGGATCAAAGGTGCAATGAGACATGATGCCTGGGAGCAAACCCCTTTGTGGGGCCCTGAAGAAATAACCAGACCCTGGGAGGAGAGGAAACCCTTGGTCCGACCAGCACCCAGGCCCACAATCAGGTCTGCCCTGTGGGGCCACCACACACACTCACCTCCACAATCATCTTGACGGTGGGAAGTGTGGTGGCGAGGTTCTGGGGATGTGGGGGCCGCACAGTGACGGGCACACAACCGCAGTACAGGCAGCCATAGAAGGCAGCAATGAGGTCCACCCCTGGGGAGACACGGGGGTTAGCATGGGGTTGATTGCAATGCACTGCGTCTAGTGCCATGGAACGGCGAAAAGGACACAGGGGCACAATCTGTTTTACCTAGTAAAGCTGCTACTACCCCAACTAGTGAAACATTTATCGAACACAATGTTGTTAGGGAGTGACAGAAGCTATCTCTACTGCAGGGAGACTCCCCACAGACCCTGGAGGCCAGGGAGGAGCGTGGGTGCAGCCTGGGCCTACTAGAACAGAAGCTCTGACCACCATCCCTGTGAGCGAGGACCGCAAAGACCTTTGAGGGCTAAGCTGTCCACGAGAGAAGACAGGAGAACACAGGAGCCAGGGCAGCACACATGGAGGCCCTGTACCTCCTTGCTGCACATCTGCAGGGAGGTCCACACCCTGGGGACAGGCCAGGATGTCCCTGCATCGCTCTCAACCACACGATGTAACACAGAACACCATACTGTTCCTTCATCTTTTCTTTATGTTTCAAATTCCCCATAATTTAACACTCATGGGGAATCATACTACATTTAAAAACCCATTTTCTCCTCTTAAACTCAATCAAACTTGAGGATACCTGTGCCCCACACACCCTGAATGCCTTTCTAGTTGCTGCCCTCAAGTCAGATAAGGCCCCCACCTGGCATCCTCAGGCTGTTTCAATTCCAGAGTCAAGATAAACATGCCACATTTAACCCAGTTTGTGGGTTCTACCAGATTATAAATCCCAAGGCTCTACCAGTAACTAGGAATGTGACCACTGGGGCCAGGGGCAGCTCAGCATATGAATTAGCAGGGGCTGAGCCCACCCACCATGCCAGACCAGGCTAGTTCCAACAGGTATTGCTGCCATAGGACCACACATTTGCTCTGTGCCTATCGGTGGATGGGAGGATCAAGTGAGGGCCACACTGAGGGCCAGCACACAGCAGTTCCAACACATGTGAGTGTTCTCACACCCAGCATGGTCACGCTGCCAACGTGCCACAAACACATCATCAAACTGAACACAAAAAGGTACCAACGGGAACTCATTTCGTGAGCAAGCATAGCTCCTGCTGTCCCTGCAATCAACCCAACAGCAGGCAGGGCCCCCCAAGGCAGAGACACAGCTAGAAGGGAAGGACACATTGAGGATGTAGGGGCAAGATAAGGGACAAGAAGGAGAAAAGGCGACAGATAGCAATAAGACTGGGGAGAGGAAGGGACAGGGTCAGGAGACCTCAAAAAGCTGGCCACCACATGAGGTTAAATTTCCACAAACTTATATAGACAAACAGACAGACAGCAGACATAAACTGTAATCATCTATTTTAAAATGAACTAAAATACATTAAGAAGATGATATAAAAAATAAAAGAATAACAGAAATCAGAATTAGAAAAAAATCAGAAATGAGGAAAGAACTAGACATTATGAAAAATCATTTCAAAAAATGAATATGAAAGTAGAAGGAGCACAAGAGCAAACAAAGACAACAGACAAAGCCTCAGTAACAGGAAGGGAGGGGACTGTTAAAAAGAATTTTAGTAAACAGAAACATCTCAACGGAAAACGACTACTAAAGACAAAGATCTAACACATGAACAGAGGAGGATGAAAGGAAGAAGATCAAAGCAAGGGAAGAGAAAAAATAGAAGAAAAAAGTGATTCTAGAAAACTTTCTTGAAGTTAAAAAAAATGAAGCTGCCTATTTAAAAATACCTTCCTTATACATGAGATTATTGTCCCATAACAACTAATATCAAGACTACATCCTGGACTTTAACAAAAAGAGAAAATCCTTTAGGCCCCTGGACAAGAACAGCAAGAATGTCTAGCGATCAAACTATAAACAAATGAAAGAAAGGCGACTCCAGAAGTCTGGATAGAGGCTACTTTTGAGAGGATGGAGGAGGCTGTGGTTGGGACAGGAAGGCAAAGGGACTACTGGGTACTTGGCAAAGATCTATTTCTTGACTTGGCTGGTGGTAACAAGGGTGCTTGCTTTATAATAATAAAATGTAGGGGAGAGACAGGGAAAGACCAGCCAGATAAAAAGCAGAAAGATAACAAAGACTATACTACTAAAAAAGTCTGAGTCTAATCACAACAGATTACAATTATTGACAAGGGGGTACAGACGTATGAAGAAACTAACTGTAACAACTCAGACCCAAGGTTAATCCTCGGTAGCTGGACTGTTATGACTGCAGTGGTGTAGGACTGCAGCCAGGAGCCCACCAGAGTCCCTGCAACAGTCCATGGGAAAGGTGATCATGATACCAGCACCACTGGGACTGTCCCATGAGAGAAGACCCAACAGATGTGGGTGTGTGTGGAGGAGGGACCCAGGTGAGTTTTGGGAGGCTTCAATGTGCTTACCTGGGGGGTAGACCAAAGCCACATGGTCCCCAATGCTCAGTCTTGCCTTCTCCGTCAGAGCAGCGGCCACCCTTTCAGCCTTTCGGTGCAGCTGGACACAGGTTGCAGTGCTCGTCACCGTGCCCTAGGAAAGCCATCACTGAGTCACACTGAACTGGGGAGCAGAGGGTTTGCCCACAGGTACCTCAGTATACACTGTGCACGCTCCACAGGGCAGCCGAGACAACCTCACCTTGGCATTCAGCAGCAAAAAGAGCGGGTGGTCGGGAGTGGTGTGGGCCCGCCACTGCAGCACATCAGGCAGGAACAGGAACTGCGCAGAGAGGTCAACTCAATCCTCCACAGCCTCACAAGAGAGGTGCCCTCCTCACCCTCCCAGGCACTGGCCCGTTACCTTCCTGGCCTGGTCGCTGTCTTCCAGGTGGGCCAGCTCCCGCCCGGAGGCCTGCGCAATTCTTTTCCCAGCAACCAGATTCCCAACAATCATGGAAGCTGGTCCAACCTCTAGAAAACAGGAAGATGCTGATGACTTGTACTGACATGTCACACTCTTTATTTGATTTAGGTATTCAACTCTTCACTATGATATAGATGTTCAGGAAACCAGCTACAAGGTTTATGCTAAATGACAAATAGAATAGAATCTCTCTTTAAATATAAGCAATGCCAGATTGAGAAATTTACAATATGGCACATATCTGGGGGATATGATTTGACCTCAGCCATAGCTAAACTCTTAATTACTTCATTGTTTTACTGTATTTTATGTATAAATCAGGAAATTACACCTTCCTGATTAAGTATATTTTATTTAATGATATTTTTTTTTCAATAATAATAAAAAGAAAAGTCAGCATTTATTAAAAATTTACATAACCAAAAGAATGCAGTACTGTATATCATAGCTAAACCAGGGAAGGAAAAGTGAATATTTGTGGAGACCTCCCAGGTCTCATGAACCTGTGGCTGTGGTGAGTCACAGGTTGAGGGGAGGAGCAGGCATGCCCCTGTCCTGGCTTGGTGTGGCTGCCCATCATGAGCACTGCAGTGACTGAAATAGGCTTTTTAAGCCTCTGAGCTCCAAGTCTGCTCTTGGGCAGGATTTCTACTCCCTGGGAGCCACTGCCTCACCATTCAAACCTAAGAAGCCAGGCTTGAATTTAGCCACTGAGATGGACTGGAGGAAGCCACATACTGGTGACGTAGTAAAGTGTTGTCCTATATAACTCAGTTCCAAGGAGGAAGGAGCTGGTGACTGGCCTGGTATGCCACTCTGGCTCTTAACCCTGGTTGCACCGTTTAACCATGATTATGGCTGCCACCCATTTTAAAGCTGTTATGCACAACTAACCTGGCTGTTTCTGGCGAGGTTTGGGAAGGTTGGTGACACAGGTGTGCGGGCACATTAGCACATTGCACGGGTGCAGCATCCCCTCCAGAAAGCGCTGCTTGGCTTCAGAGACGTGAACCCCTCCGAGAGGAGCCTTGGGCAAGGTGTTGGCAGGAACCAGGGCCAGACAGTACACGCCCACCTGGTGGATGCTGTCAATGGCCTGGAAGGGAGGATACAGGACAGGAAGGACTTCTGAGACCCGACACACTGCATAGTGATGTCGGAGCACATGCTGACCAACGGAAGGTGGCTAGGAAGATAAAGGCTGGGCACTGCACTGGGTGAGGACTTTACAACCCAAAGGTCAAGAAGACAGAGTGACATCAGAACATTTTGTTAAATGAGAAAACAAGATGGATGCATGTACACTTTCTATCATTTAACACTTGCACACACACGCACACATACATACACACAATGTGTCTATATACATGTCCATAAGCCTGTAACCACTTACAGGCCAAAAGACATGTTAAATGACCTCCTGTGGGAGGAGTGAACAAGCAAGGGCAGAAGCTGAACTCCTCTGAATATACTTTGCTTTCAGATTTTACTTTGGAACCACATATCTTTTATATACAAAACACTTAAAACAACTGAAAGTAAAACAAAACAAATGAACTCAAGCAAACTAGAATCAGGTTGGTGGCACAGCCCCATAGAGAGTGTCTATTTAAAGTGACTTTAAACACGGTGACTTGATTAGTCTCCCCCAAGTGGATATGTCCTGTGGGCAAAAAGAATTGAAAAACAACTTCAACTGCTCTCAAAAATCTGTTTTAGAGGCAGTGCACAGGCTGTGGTTCTGTGACTACAGGGTGGGTGGAGTGGCCTAAGGTGAAGGAGGATTCTGTTTGAGTCATTTAGTGTGGGAGAAAGGAGATCATAAGTTAAATAAAAATTCTTCAATCTTGAATCGGAGTTAAAACTAGCAACATAAACTCATGATGTAGGTAATCTTGCAGACAAAGAGACATCATTTCCTACTCTGTCCACTGAAAAAAGCCCAGAAACAGTGACTAAGCCAGTAACATCAAGTGCCCAGATGGTGGTCCCAAATTCCATTTCCCCTGGAAGGCAGCTGGGGTCCCAGCCCCGACAGGTATATGACAGGAAAGGCGCCACCTCTCCAGGCAGCGGAGCCTTCTGCTCTCTAGTCTGGCCTCAAGGCGCAGGGGTGTTACAAAAGGCCTCACAAGCCAACTTGAAGAGGCCCCGACTGACCACTGAAAAATAAAATAACTATAATAATCTGAAACAATCCAGTATGTTTAAATCCATTAGTTCACAATGAAACAAATAAAATAAAACCCAGTGGTCACTTTTACTTTTCTAGGAAACCAGCTCATTCCTCTGAAATCAATCCCTGATCTTGTTTTCCTGCATGGCCTGCCCTCCAAGTCCCCAGGGAATTCAACAGGACAGCACTCTTTCTAGAAGAAACTTCTACCGCTGCTCCTGTGAACGATGAAGAAGGAATAACAGCATCAAAGAAGCACCACTGTGAAGTCCTAACACATCACTGGGTACAGGAGTGCTAAACAACCAGGCATCATGTACCACCTTCTATGAAGGATCATTGTCAGAAAACCAAATCTGAGCATGGTCAAACTGTTAGATCTAATATCAACATGTAGGAATGATAGGACAGAGGAGCACATTAAATGATACTGCAGAGGTGCAGTCATCAGAAGTCAGGCTAGCGAACATACTGGACAAACAACCTGTTTTTGTCAATAAACAAATTGCAAGAAAATGATGACAGAGGAGGAGTCTAAAGATAAAAAAAGACTTAAAGACCTGTCCCTTCCAAGTACAATTTTTTTTAACCCCATTTTGATCCTGAGACCAACAAACAAACAAAACATTAATCAGGTAAATCAGAATTGTGACTAGATATCTATTTACATCAGCTGTTACTGTTATGATAAAACTCAACAAAGTGGGAATAGAGAGAACGTGCCTCAACAAAATAAAAGCCATACATGGCAAGCCCATTGCTAACACCATATTCAACAGTGAAAAGCTGAAAGCTTTTCTTCTAAGAAAAGAAACAAGACAAGGATACCTATGCTTGTTATTAAACCTAGTACTAGAAGACTTAGTCCGAGCAATTGGGCAAGAAAAGGAAGAGAAAAAAAGAAATAAAAGACATCCAAATTGGAAAGCAAGAAGTAAAATTGTCACCCTAACTGGTTTGGCTTAGTCGATGGAGCGTCAGCCTGCGGACTGAAGGGCCCCAGGTTCGATTCTGGTCAAGGGCATGTACCTTGGTTGGGGGCACATCCCCAGTAGGGGGGTGTGCAGGAGGCAGCTGATCGATGTTTCTGTCTCATCGATATTTCTAACTCTATCCCTCTCCATTCCTTTCTGTAAAATATCAATAAAATATATATTTTTTAAAAAAATAAAATTGTCTCTATTTAAAGATGCCATTATATTATATACAGTAAATACTAAAGACTCCACCAAAAAAGAATTAGAAATATTAAACACATTCAGTAAACATATTCAGGATACAAAAGTGATATACAAAAATCTGTTGCATCTCTATACACTAATAATGAACTATCAAAAAGAGAAATTAAGAAACAATCCCATTTACAATTGTATCAAAAAGAATAAGATACCTAGAAATAAATTAAGCCAAGGAGGTAAAAGACCTGTACTGAAAACTACAATATATGTATATATCATATATTTTGTTTGTTTAGAAATTTTGTACACAATGTTTATTTACAAGTCTTGTGCAGACAGAAAAGTTCAAATGGTAGGGCCTTTCCATCTCTTGCCTGAGCTATTAAATTACCCTTGTTATACTTTCTCCCTCTGCCAGTCCCGCCACTCCTCAAAACACACTACACTAATCCTCCAGACTGGTTTCCCTATGTCATGCTACTAACTTTAACTTTCCATGTTTCCCACTGTTGACAAATGGTGCATTTCTTAGACTGGTGTTCAAGGTTCTCTACAATCTGAATCCAATCAACAGTTCCCAAAACTCCCTGTTCCATCAAATAGTTCTGGATTTACAGCTCCCTAATACCATGTACCTCTGAGCCACATTCTTTCCTGCCTGTCAAAATACTAGACCTGTAATCTGGTAGTGTGCATTTTTTTTTTTAATCAGCACAACCTTGAACCAGGTAACAGCACTTTTAGGAAAATTAAGTCAAACATTTAGAGCATACACAAAGATTTTAGTTTTAAGAACTTTCCTTTAGAACATTGAAAACTGGCAATTTAACCTAAATGCCCAACAATAAGGAACTTGTTAAGTTAGAGGACATCTATAAAACAATATAGTGTAAACCCTTAAAATTAAAATGAATTACCATAGATTTTTATGAATCTTAAAATTTTAGGGATCATATATCAACTCATATTTCTAGGGTGTATGCAGTAAAACAAGTATGGAGGGTAGACATCAAGGTATTCACAGTGGTTTTCTCTGGGTGATGGCTGACTAATGTTCTTCCACTTGCTTCCTCTAGTTTTTAAAGTTAATATATTTTGCTCTATATCAGCGGTTCTCAATCTGTGGGTCGCGACCCTTTGGGGGTCGAACGACCCTTTCACAGGGGTCGCCTAAATACATCCTGCATATCAGATATTTACATTACGATTCATAGCAGTAGCAAAATTACAGTTATGAAGTAGCAACGAAAATAATTTTATGGTTGGGGGTCACCACAACATGAGGAACTGTATTAAAGGGTCGAGGCATTAGGAAGGTTGAGAACCACTGCTCTACATCAAGAGGTGAAAATAAAGAGAAGCAAACCCATTTTCACGTTTCCAGGCCCAGTTTAAAACTATTTCCTTCCCCTGGCCTTTCCTGGGCTCTTCTCACTTCCTACAGCACAGGATGCTTCTTGCTGGTGGCATTTATTAATTCCTGACCCGCACAACACCAGCAGTACATACCCTCTCTCTCCTATATAAACAAAAACTCCCTAAGAAAGAGCTGTTACACTGGATGTGGCTATTTCAGCCATCGTGCCAAGACCAGGCAGACCTCAGTTACCAAGAAACATGAGATGACGTCATCTGCACACCTAGACCCTGGGGGTCAGCTCACTCCAAATCTAGGCGGTATTTTCATTTAAAACCATTCGGGTTGACAGCAGCTTCATGGTGCTGCTATTAGATAATAAAGACACAGTAACCCTTGTACAGATTTCAGTTTCAAATGCTATTTCCTCCTCCTCACAAATTGTGTGTTTACGTAGTGCCTACTGTGTGCCAGGCAGCACAGAGTGAGGAAGGGATCCTGGAAGCCATGAGTCTCAAACAAGTCATTCCCACGAGTAAGTGTGGTGCAATTCCACATCTGGCCTGCTCAGCATGGTTACAGAAATGCGAAGGTATTGCAAGCACAGAGCGGGAGGAGGGACTCACCGCCTACTCTGAAAGAATGAAATGGGGAATGCTAGGACAGGTGGACTCGCCTTGAACCACACACCAACAGACAGGCAGAAGGAGTGTGCCTCCGCGCCCACCTGTAGCACGCGGCTCATCCACTGAAAGCTGTCCTCCTCGGAAGCATCCGGCCGCTGCTCGGCCACGAGCACAATCCGGTCGTCATGCAGCACCCTCACGGAGAACACAGCGATTCTGGGGGAGGACAAGGGCAGAAATGACCACCCAGCAAGGGATGCCAGAAGGGATGCAGACACCTCTTCTCTCTTGAAAGGATGATGCAGAAGTGCTAGTTTAGAATCAACTGAACAATGGGCTTTAAAAAATAGCCAGTCTCTAATCTTGTTGAGAATTTAAAAAGTAACCAGTCACTAATTTCCTCAAATATGACTGAAAATTCACCAAAACAGGGAGGACTCTGGTACAAATCAAAACCACCAGGTGTTTTTCCTTAATTGTGATGTTAATAACATGACACATTCTTTGTGCAAAAACCTTTGTCTATAAGTTCTATGAGTTACATTTTTCATCCAGCAGATGAAATCTATCTCTCACTGAATTAATCTGCTTGTGTTTACTGGACCTGTTTCTCCCATCTTACTTTAAGAATTTCAACATGTTTTCTGTGTCGCCTTTTTCTTCTTTTAAACTTGAGATTATATACCTTTTTCCTAAAAGGCAAGGTGCTGGTTTCCCCATCAAACCACCATGCATGACTAAGGTTCTAATTTTGGGCCTTTATGGACATAACTTCATTCTTTCCTTTGACTAGTGTGCATATGTGTACGTGTGCGTGTGTGCACACATACATACACACATGGTTTTTTATACAACTAACTTTACCCAGTATTAAATTTTCCCTACTTCCTTTTTTTTATTGATTTTAGAGAGAGGAAGTGGGGGAAGAGAAAGGGAGAAACATTGATGTGAGAAACATCAATTGGTTTCCTCCTGCACGTGCCCTGACCAGGGATTAAACCCACAACCTGGGTATGTGCCCTGATCAGGAATCGAACCTGCCACCTTTTGTGCATGGGACAATGCTCCAACCAACTGAGCCATACCAGCCAGGGCAAATTTTCCCTACTTTCATACATCTTGTAGCATTTCCTGAGTATTTCTTAGTACCTCATCTGAGAGTATTTTCACAAAAAGGATCTTTTGGTAACCAAACTTCTAAAATTTATAGACCCATGAATATTTTTATTCCAACTGCACAATTAAGTGACAATTTGGATAAATACAAAATCCAGGCTAAAAGTTCCTTTTAAAAATTTAAAAAATATTACTGCACTGTCGTTCTCTTATACCAGCCCTAGTACTCTCTGCCTGGTTCTGTATCAGCTGGGGAGACATTGCCAAATCAGCCATATGGGCCCTACTCAAGTCGAAAGCACTCCAGCCTCCTGCTTTGCAATCACTCCCTCTTCCTCTCCCAAGTGTGATACCTAGATTGCCAGCCCTTCTTCTTTTCTTCTCCCCATCTCTGTTAATTTTTCTTTAAAACTTTCTATTTCTTTACCTCTAGAGTAGTTCCTCAATTTGACTTTCCAGCTTATCAATTCTTTCTCTAGCTGCATCTATCCTACTATTTATTCCATCTATTATGTTCTTTGTGTAAACTGTTATGGTTTCTTGATCTCATTTCATGTTATTAATATCCCAGTGGCACACACATTCAATCAGTTATAGTTCTATTTCAAAATGGTTGTGGTCCTCAAGCTCTTCCCTGATGGGGACAGGCAGACTATGCTGACTACCTGCAGAGCAATCACCCGACAACCCCAGCCTATCATCCAGGGTACCTGCTCAGAACGGGGACTTTACTTCTAGGCACCATCAGGTTCTGGTGGCCATGCAAGGAGTCAGTCTCTATAATCCACCCTAGGAGAGGTATGGGCTACCCTGATGTTACCCCATGAACACCTGTACCAGCAGTATCCCTGGTTTCCACTGTGAGGACAGGCAGTGATGTTCTGGGACAGTCTAGGCTGCATGCACCTACAGGACTGCCCTGCTGGTCTCTCCTGGGCAGTTATCCCACACCCATCATCTTTTCCTGGGGGAAGGCCAGCAGCCCATGCTGACCCACCATTTGGCAGAATTCGCTAATGATTTCTTTAAGGTATATTTAAAGGCAGGATCTGACCAGGTTCACAGGCAGGCACCCTAGTTTGAATAATAAAAGCACTTCCTGAGAAAAATAAAAATTTTAAATACAGCATGCTGAGTGGATCAACTAGGAGAAGGGGCTGCTTCCTCCAGGACAAGGTGCTCAGGAGCTGGACAGGGCTTCCCCTCCTTGCCCCCAGCCACTGGGGCTAGGCCAGAGGCCCATTCATTTGCTCAATGGAGATGAGAATCTTTAAAGTCTTGCCTAACACATTCAGAAAGTTGGACTGATTCTATCCCAGGAGCAAGGCAGGGTTTCTGAATGTCTTGCTAAACCTTAGGAGAAAAGGAACTGGCCTCTGCTGGCTGCACAGAACATGGTATTGGCTGTTCCAATGTACACCTGTGAGGTCATGCACATGGCTCCCTCTGTGGTGTTGGGGCTGGTCCCTGTGCCAGTTATACATTCAGATCACATTGTTTTAAAGGACAGCGTGAGCTCTGGGGACAGCGAGGACACTAACTCTGCTGTCCATGCTGCAAGTGCCATCCTTTTCTTTCTGAGGTTTCTCTAATAAACAGGAATTTTTAGGTTGGTTTGTTCAAGTCATTGGGCTTTTTTCCACTGCAAACAGACTTCTCCAACCTTAAGTGGAAAAAGGATCTAAAGCCATAACATAGGGACCCGCAGCGCATCACCTGCCTCTGTAGACAAACTTCATGGGCTCCACCGCCAGCGCAGTGGCCACGATGTCATCCGCATTGTGTCTGCGAACTCCGACCACCATCAGCCCATCCAGCTTGCCCACAATGAAGACCAGGTTATCCTGAAGGCAAGGAAGCTGGTCAGGACTCAGGACACACAAGCCGGTCCTGTGAGTCAGTCCCTGCTACAAGGAGATGGGAGCACCATGTCCCTTACATGATGACAGGTGAAACTCGGGGCAAGGCAACTGTGGGATGAAGGGGCCCTACAGACCAGTGGGTTCAGGTTGGGGCAAAAGGGCATGCAGGGACAGAGTTGGCAGGAGAAAGGTCAGAGATAGAAATACAGTTGTGGGTGAAGTTTGTAAAGAATTCTGAGTGCTATAGGACATCGGCAGGGTTCCCAAACTTGGCACCAGTGATGTTTTGGGTTGATGTAGTGGGCATCTAGAGTGTCCTGTGTACACTCTAGATGCCCACTATATATTGGCAGCATACCCTCCTGAGAGGTGAGCACAAGAAGGACCCTGGTCCTGGTGGCGGGATTACTCACAGGGCCGATGAAGCCCAGCAGCCCAGTCCTGGTGAAAGGCCTGTCCGAGATGGGTGCTCCTCCTGCAGTGACCGGGACAGTCTGCACAGAGCAGAGAGGGGAACGGTCAGACTATGGTCCACAGATAATCAACCAACCGGCCAGGGGTCAGCAGGCAGGTGGGAGAGCTCAGCACTCACACTGCCTGACAGCCAGGGTGTGGTTCCTCAGATAGGGCTGTCACCCATGTTTACGGAGGGAAAGAGGCTACCCCAGGACCAGAGTCTCTGCTGGCTGAGGAGATCCTCCTCTGGCCCCTGTGCACAGCATGACCCCCACAGGCTTTGTTCCTGCTTTATCATGTTACTTGGTAACTCTCCTCCCACTGCTCCCAGTGCCTGGCCCAGAAAAGTGGGCACTCATTGGGCTCTCCAGACACCCCAACAACTCTAGCATACAGAGCATTGGCTTGCCTGGGCAGCCTCAACTCCCCTGAGCTAATTCAGCAGAGCAGGTGCCAAGGAGGTCGGACCACCACCCACTGTGCCCCATGGATGCTCTCAGAACTTAACTTCAACATAAGTACAAACCTCAAAGACATTCTTTGTGATCCCAAGTAGTCCATAATACGCTGTGCCTGTAGCATTGGAGTCAACACATATTTCTCCAACCTCATCGGTTTTACAAAGATACGGGGCACCATCCATCTTCACAACACATATACTAGCTATAAAAAGAAAAAAATAACAACCTCAAAAGCATAAATACATTGATCATTCACAAGGATATATTTCTATCATGTCTATAGCTATGGAAACAAAATATTACACATGTAGTATGTTCTTACAACAAGCTTTCTGACAGATGTCACAGACATTCTATTTGCTCGTGACTTTACATTTAATACACACCAAGGTGAGGCGATGGAACAGTTCAGCACGATCTCCCTGTGATAAGCAGACTCACAGGCTCTGCAAGACTCTCCCGCACCCACATGAGATGTCGGCTGACCTGGCTGCCAAAGGCACCATCTCGCACATTTGCTCAGAGGCTCGCTCCTGCTCCAAAGCCTGACGGACCCCACTTGTACCTGGTCTCATCCTGTCACGAAGGCCCCAGCCTGATCACTCCTTTTCTGTTTTCACTAAGCAGCACACCTTCCTGATGCTCCTGCCTGGTGTCTGCCCCCCTGCACAGGGGACCTTGCTTGTATGGTCACTGCAGCCCAGGCCCTCAGCCCTGCCACAGAGCAAGCATCCAGGAACAGCCTCCAACAACAGAGCAAAATACACACCAGAACATGGAGTGGTCCATCAAACAAAACCCGGTCACTCAGTATGAATTAAATAGCCTGGGCCTTGTTCTTCCTTCGGCCCTTCTTGAGTGTTTTTCCAAAGTATTCTCATCTTCAAAGATGTGAGCAAGGCCCGGTCATTTAATTCCATTTGTGCACAAATCAGTCAAAGCCTCAGCAGAGAGAATGTTGAAGACATTCACTAAAGGAGGTGGCATTCATGTATCTTGCTGTGCAGGTAGCCCTCAGCTCACACTCAGACACTCATGTGATGACAGACACCCCAATTTAAATTACAAAAAGGCACAAAAGGACAAAATCCACTGCACATCATGGTCAATGCAAACCCAGTAGGATTAACACAGTGGAAGTTGTACATCTGCTAAAAGCAAACACCACCAGCCCTCGACAAGTCAATCAATCTTCAACTGTTCTGGCTAACAGAACCCACCTAGGGGAGCACTGTGCACACTCACACACCTAGGGGAAAACTGTGCATACAGTCCATCCTGGTCCATGTTTTACCAGTAAAAAACGAACATTACTATGAAAGTCCCTTATTTTTTCATTCGGAAAAATCACTAAGACTATATTTTACCAATCTTTTAAAGAGTTACTGGGCTCTCCTCATAACTACTAAAAATATGTAAGATTCCCAATCTTTGTTCTTTGTAAAATGTTTCATCCTCATATTCAAGTTACCAAAGGACCAATTAATCCATATTTATGGTAAAATTATAAAAAGAAAAAATACATTTCATATTGTATTTTACTTCTATAACTAGAAATAAAATTTGAACTTCTAGTCTTGTTCTAAGAGTTCCAACTTCTCCACACATGCAGGGTCAGACATCCTTGCTATGGGCTCTCACTCTGGAGTGCCCTGGCATCAAGTTGAACAGCACATGCCCTTTATGCACTGATGACCTGTGGAGGCAGACCTGAAAACACAAGGAGCAGGATGCTGAGCAGCCTGCAAACCCTGCAACCCAGATACAGCAGCACTGGGATAAGGGTGACTGACTAAAAGGTGAGAGCCTGCCTCTAGAAGTCACCAGGGTGGGTCAGGACAGCTGCCCGTGAACCACAGAAGGGCCAGCATGGCGAGGAGGGTTCGAATAGAAAAGTTGTGGGGTTGCTACAATGAGGGGTAACCGCAGAGCAGCACCAATAGAGCGTTCCCCCACTCACAACTGTCACCAGGGCCTCCTGGGCCTGACTCTGCTCTTAATTTTCTATGTGAAACTTTGCACCAGCATCACTCCATGTGGCCTCGCCTGCAGAATAGCAGGAAGACAGTTCCATCACCCTCTCATCGCTGCACTGCCTGGTATGTCAGGGAAGCCTCTAATAATTTAGGTGTTAGTCAGGCCCATGTGCAGGATAGCTCATCATGACCTTTCTGGAACCTACAGGAATTTCCGTGGACCTTAATTTAAGGTCATACTCCTAACATACCCATACTTTCATGACTTACTGAAATAATCTATCATTATTCAGACGTCCTGGGCCCTGGGGTTTATGCCTCCATATATGTGAAGTATGAAGGCTGTGCCTGGCAGCAATGTGAGCTGTTGTCACCATTATCCCAAGTACTGGAACCAGAAGTTGGGTTCACAGCCATAAACACACCTTTATATTTTAGCTCAACTTTAAACTTAATACAAAAGAAAGCAAAAAAACCTGGAAAATGTTATAAATTAAAATCCTAATTTACATGGAAAACCCATTTTAAGCAATTTTTTTATTTGTGTGCTTCCAGATCACTCCTATAAAGCCTGGGGCTAGTATGACTCCTTGTCATGTTAATCAATCACTGGATAAGACACACTTCAGGTGCATCTCTTACCTCCAGGCATCACCTGACCAACGTCCTGAACAGTAAGGACTGACAACTTTTCTTCAGTATCAACTCTGATCACACCGTAACTAAGGCCGTTCATTGATAGCACAGCTTTTCTTGGAGGAGGTCCTCCCAGGTCAGGCGGCCTAGAAAACAAAACTAGATTAACTGGCAAAGCGTAGAGTTCTAGAAAGAGGAGACCTATGGCCTACCTGCCGGCAATATGATGTTGCGCCCCAGGCTCTGCTCTGAATCATACTGTAACCTTGAACCCTGACACAGCAGCACTGGGATAAGGACTGCAGGACTGCATGTGGCAGACTGCATCCTTGAAGTTGCCACCATCTTTCCACCCCATGCTTTCTTCTAGAGTGGGGCCTCAACACTTCTCCCTTCATCTGGTGGGCCTGTGATGATGGTGGAAGTGATGCTAAGTGACTTTCAAAGGAGGACATAAATGGTAATTCAGCTTCCACCTGTTTGTCTTGGGAAACTCACTGGGAGCCTTGGGCACAGACAGGTAAGCAGAATGACACAGTATGAGGAAGCCCAGAGCAGTCCACTCCAGGGACCAGCAAAAGAGGCCCTGAGACTGCACACAGGAAGTCATGTCTACAGCTCCCCCAACCCTAATCCAGTCCAGAGAGCATCCAACTGCAGCACCAAAGTCCCGACCATAGCAAGTATGAGAGATATAATAACTGACTGTCACTGTTCTAAGCCACCAAGTTTGGTAGTAATTTGCCATGCAGCATCAGTAAATGCAACACTAAAAACAAAGGTCAATATTTTTCCCAGTAAGAAAAACTACACTGACAAGCAAAAGATATCACCATAGAACAAAGAAACAAAGACTACTTCATGGTTTGTGAAGGATAAAGATGTTATTTTAATGCTAAGTTATCATTAACATTTAGGATTACTTAATGCTTGCACATAAAAGCACACATTATTTATGGACATATTAACATACATAAATGATGCAGGACTACAACTGACACTAATTTTCTAACAATGGAGTTAAAAACTCCATTGCCTTCTACCCCAGGATGGTGCCGGAGCAGCTGCAGACCAAGAGCCACAGGGCAGGCAAGAGATGACCCAGGCAGGAAAAGTAGACCATAGGTACACCTCTACCCTAGGATGGCACTGGGGCACCTATTAGTGCTCAAACAGCTCGGGAAATTGCCACAGGATGGGGCACTGCTTCATGATGGCTACTGCTCAGAAACAAATTAACAGCATTTGATACCGCAGGTAATTCAAGAGTAAGAGTAAAAATTAAGTCTCTACAAAACACAAGCAATTAAGTTACCTGCGGATGGCAACCGTTAGTGCCTCAGGAGAACTGGCACAAGGACAGATGACCTCCGGCCTCAGGCCTCTAGACTGGAAGACGTTGAGGAAGGCATCACAGGAAGATATGGACCCTGCATGAAACAAAGTGGGACATGAGAATAAATGCAAGGCTGATGGGTACGGGGGAGCAGCAGAGAAGTGAGCAGCACCCAGGCGTTTTAGAGGCAGGATGTAGAGACCCTGCCGAGCTCAGGTGTGGATGGAGGGAACGAGAGGCTTTGGGGTGCTAGGTTACGTGATCTCCCGAGCAACAAGGTACCCAGGAGCACAGGAACGCAGGGGTGTTAGGGCCTCACTGGACAGCAGACTAGCTCATACGCCAGACTCTGGTCAATGGCTCTGTGCTGCAATATTCCACTCAGACTCCCCAGAAGACACCTTGCGGGAGGCCTTGGACAGCCCCCAACAAGCAGCCACGCGCAGGTCCCACAGAGTCTGGTTTGTGCAGCAGCACACTAGGGGAGTTCTCACTGGGAGGACGTAGGGTGGCTGAGACAGTGGGGGCGAGATACAAGGCCAAAGGGCAGGGGCTTCATGAGGCTCCCAACCTGTAACTATGTTCTGGTCAATGCTTAAGAAATATGACTCTTTTTTTAAAATATATTTTTATTGATCTCAGAGAAGAAGGGAGAAGGAGAGAGAGACAGAAACATCAATGATGAGAGGGAATCATTGATCAGCTAACTCCAACACCCCCCCCACTGGGGATCGAGCCCACAACCTGGGCACATGCCCTGACGGGGAATTAAACTGCAAACTCCTGTTTCACAGGTCGATACTCAACCACTGAGTCATGCCAGCCGGGCAGAAATATGACTCTTTTAGGCATGTACCTTCTCTCAACTGTATTTAAATCGCTTCCAAATTTAGTGGCAAAAAAAACATGCATGAGATATAACAATGGGTCACCAACAAGAAGTGACATGTTAGAGACAGTTACAATACACTCACTTTCACTGTTCTGGGGACACCAGGCTCCAGCCCTGGTCAGGAGGTTACTCACATGGGTTAGCTCCGTCGGCCACGATCAGCATACGCAGTGAGCTGAGGCTGACGTCCCGCTGACCTCGCTGAGCCAGGAGAGACCAGTGCATGTCACGGGACTTCACCAGCGCTGTCTGGGCTGCAAGGGGACACAAATGTGAAGGTGGCACTCCCACATCAGACTGACCCGCCTGCAGTGCTTGCTGCCAGTGCAGTACACACGTAGGACCACAGACATGCATCCTATGTTTCAGGCCACACGTACTCTGCAGCTATGTCTCATTCATAGTTTAACTTACCCTAACCTGTTTTACTTAAAATCAAACATAAACTCAGATCCATTTTCCACTTTGATTTCTCTCAGAAGCTCTATCTTGTTCTTTCCACATCTGCATATTCTGTCTCATCCAGCCCTCCCCCAAGCTGCTTAGGCATGCAACTGTGCAGCCAAAGAAGCCTCAGATACAAGGGCTGTGAGCAGATAGACTCAGCCACCAACCCTGAAACAGGCTTCAATCTTCCTCAGTAAAACAGAATAAACAGAGACAGCTACTCCCTCTAGGCTGCCCTGATGACGTCACGTCAGAGCACACGTCTCATGTCCACATTCAGTAACTGGCAGTACCGTCAGCACAGGTAGACAAGTAAAGAGGGTACCCAGGATTAGTCAGTCTTAACAAAGACACTAGGCCCAGGCTCAGAAGATAGTGAAGGGCACCTTCAAGCTACCTCAGAGCAGAGTCACAGAAATGCCTAGAGTGACTGCAAGGGTGACTGACTGAAGGTGGAGGACGGGGCAAGGTCCCACGGGCAGCCCCATCATTCGTGGACGGCTTCATCTGAATAAACTGCTTTGCTGCTGGTGGCTTGAAAAGCCCTAACTTCATATTAAAACCATCTCAAATACTAAGAATTGATGTGATTGTAAGGAAAATTTTAAAAGAGTAACATTAGGGGCCTATGGTCCTTGCAGAAAAGAGTTGTTACTGAACAGTTCTCCACCAAGCCTTGCACACACACCCAGGCCTTGCTCAACCAGGTCAGGCTTTGTACACACAGGCCACAACAGCTTATAGCCCAGCACTGGTGAGTCAGGACCACCACAGATGAGCCTCAGAGCTGGTCATGGCGCATGCTGGCGTCAGGGCTCCTCAGGCCACATCTACAGTTTTGCATGTTGGCTTTATTTTTTCTTAATCACCAAAGGTTAATTCAAAGAGACTTCTTTAGTGCAGGCTGAATCAAGAAATGATGCTAATTCCCTTACCTTTATACAAACACACTTTCTGAATCCAGGAGAGCGGGTTCACCTTCATCAGTGCATACGGGATGCTGATCACGTGCATCTTGTTCATGACACTCTGTGAAAGACATGGGTGCTCAGGGCAGGCTTCACTCCGCATCCAGACTGCAGAGCTCTACACCATGCCGAAAGCGACAAAGGTAACGCCAGTGCTCACAACACTATTTCAGTTCAGATATACTGGTCAGGTGAATCAGCAGAACTAAGGATTAATTATATCACGTAAAAATTAGGGTTTGGGGTCATGTACTGATATAAAACATTAGAAATCCCTCGTTCCAACAATTAGATCATTTAGCATCAACACTCACTGTTAACACTCCATGCCACAGACCAGCATCCCTTTTGAAATCCAGCACATTTGTTAGTGTTTCAGCTGAAAGTGGACAAAGATGGTTAAACTGCTGAGTGAACCTCTTCACAAGTCACATGCACTTTTAGAGAAACTCTGAGATGAGCACATTATCAGCATTATAAGAGCTTTAGGAAACATACAGCATTTCCAAATACCATGCACTAATTTACCAATAATCTTGGTTATCTACTTAAATTACTGGAAAAACAACAGTAGGTCATACAATTCTGGATTACAACAGAGAACTATGCTGATCATCAATCTGAAACCAAAGCAACAATCTCTAGTTAAGAGGCTGAGTGAGGCTGTTACATTCAGTCAGACTGTCATGGGTGCTCTTCTCAATTTTATATCCGGTTCCCCCACTTCTCACACCCAAGGCCATTACCCTGCATCTTCAAAAAATATCACAGGCTGCTCATGTCACTTCCCTTTAGAAAGGTGCTCATTCTCTCCTGCCCATTTTCTCCTCCAGAGGGTATGACTGGTAGGTATTAGGAAGCAGGAGCAAATCAAGAAATGATGCAGGAGTCCCCAGGCTTCCTAGCACATCCCTGTACTCAGAGCGTCTGGCGGCACCCTCTGAGGGACCTGGATCCAAAGGGCAGGGAACAGAGCCTGAAGCTAGAAGCAAATCTGGTCCCTCACCAAAGGCCATGGCAAGCCTAGTGCGCCCCACAGGAGAAACACCCCTGGTGATTACAGGGAGCTGGGTTGTGTGCCAGGACACTGCTGCATTCTGAATAAACATGCTGTACAGGCTCCCTGGTCAGCTGAGGATCCAAATATGGGTGACATATGTAAGGTCAGGACTAGGTCTGAAGAAAAAACGATGGGACTTGACTGATAGGTCTAATTTCTTTAAAAATTATTCAGGCCCTTGAACATATCTAACATCCTCTTCCAAATTTCTACTGAAATCTTCAGCTATGCCCTATACTACCCCTTACATTTAAACACCCATATTGTAGATATTTAAACATACCACTCAATTTACTTTTTAGTTTTGTTCAAGTATTGCAATGCAAAAACAAACTTCCATGCATACATTTTTATAGTTTTTGGAATAATAGTTCTCTAAGTTAAATATCTAATATTTATCAGTACATGTGGCACTACCAAGAGCCAACCTATGACCATAACATTCCATCTGTATATCTGTATGCAGGACAGCTTAAGGCCAAACCAGAGGCATATAAAATAGTAATGGAAAAGTGAGTGCCAATAACATGGTTTTCCATATTTTTAAAATGTGAAATGCACTGCCCCTCAGCTCTGTTGCAGGTTGAACCAGCCAACTGGACTTTGATGAACTGGTGGGATATGGATTTCACACTCTAGAAAATCGACATACACATCAGTTTACTGGAAAGGGCCCACTCATCTACTGCAAGCAGAGACCCAAGCATGCGGCACCTGGAACACCAGGTTAGAGGACAGGTCCTATACAGGACTGGGTCTGACATCTGCAGCGACAGTTCCCTGTTGCCCTGTGCACAGCTGAAAGAGCTACCCCACATGCCCTTACCTTCCAAGTAGCCACATGCCTGGGTCAGAGCCCGGCACTGCGCCAGCAGAGATGCATGGGACACCGTCACCCCCACTGTGCTGCCTTCTTTGCTGGTTTTATACTGAAAGATTTCAAGAAAAAAAATTCAATTATGTGATGTTTCTGGAGTCCACGGCAGAGAGAATGGAGACCGGTAGATTTTAGAGAGAAGAAGCTATCAGCTGTCTCTCCTTCACTAACCAGCCCGTCAGACTGAAGAGCATTTTATGCCCTGACCCTTGAGGTGACACCCTCGGATGAAGTCAGGACTCATCCTGGGCAGGTGCTAAGGGCAACAGTACATACGAGTTCCCTCGTAATTGTCCGCATCCCCAGGGTAGCCAGTGAGGGGAGATTAGGTAAAAGTAAAACTGAAAGGGTCTGAGAAAGTTCCCAAATGACAATTCAACATAACTTTTAGCCTGTAAACTAAAAAAAAAAACTCAGTAGCTCAAACTCATATGAAAACAAGACCTAACCCGTGGGGCCTGCTTTAGCATACTGTGTTAGAAGTCATCACCTCAATGTAGGCGGTCCCAGCTCCTTCGTCCTGGGCCAAAGGATGCCAATCCTTGGGGGGCTTAGTCAGATGCTTCCCATCAATTACCAACCAGTTGAGAGGGGGCCAACCTGTGAGGGTGCAGCCAGGAAATATGGCACAGGTGAATGTCAGAGGGTCTCTGCTCCCCACACTCAGGGCCTAGCCACTGAACATGCAGCTCTAGTTCCTGAGTGCCCAAGAAACAGATATCTCAGTCTCATTTAATTTTTACTCAATTCATATTAAACAGCAGAGACCCTGAACCAGCTGAAAAGCGAGATTCAACTTCAGCCTCTGTACGTTTAAGTGCTGGAAAAGTACTGGAGGACATAGTTTAACTCATAATGCTGACTCCCCTCCCCCTCAGAGGCCCACCTTTGAAAGTTGCCACCTCTCCAGTCTGTGCTTTAGGCAGGCCTTTCTGACAAGCGTCCGTGGTCAGGGCCAGGGTGACACCACAGCTGCCCAGCAGAAACCCGATCTGCTGGCTGCCAGCATCCTGAACAAGACAGAGTAGGGTGGAAGTGAGGTGCTCCTGGCAGCTTCGGCTCAGGACCTTTACTCTGCAGGCCCATGCACAGAAAGAAGAGTGTTTTGTACACCCCTTGTAAAATTTCTAGAACAACTCAATTCTATATACCAGCAATTTTCAATCAGTGTGCCACCAGATGTTTTAAAACATTCAATACCTGACCTCTTTTCCTTTAAATTGTCATATAAAAATACGACAACAGCCAACACAGTAATAGCCATTTTCAGATCAGCAAAAAATAATATACTTTAAGTATTTTAGTAATTATACTTTATATTTTAACTAGAAGCCCGTTGCACGAAGATTCGTGCAATAAACCTTCCCGTCCCCTGGCTGCTGGCACCGGTTTTCCTCCGGCACCCGGGACCCAGGCCTTTGGTCCGGCCACAGCGAGGCTTGGCTTCTCCGCTGCAGCTGCAGCGGAGAAGCCAAGCCTCTTCAGTCTTCAGTCTTCACTCAGGCCAGAGCCTTCAGTCTTCGCTCCACACCTGCATATGCAAATTAACTGCCATCTTTGTTGTGTTAATTTGCATAGTTGCTCTAATTGGCTGGTGGGAGTAGCAAAGTGACACCAATTTGCATGTTTCTTTTTTATTAGTGTAGATAATTAGTGTGCCATGAGATGAAATAGGTTGAAAATCACTGCTATATACAGTATTTTCATGAAAATAAAATACAATTGTTTTTAAATTTAAAAGATATATACTTTTTGCAGTGAAATATAAAGTGCAGATAATGGGCTAATTTCCCAAAGTTTTTTCTTGCAAATGACATTTAGCAGCATTTTAATATACTCCCAAAATAACAGCATTAAAATTTCCACTTGATTTGTGTTTAACAATACTAATTATTTCCATATAGAAATGCATATTTTGTTTTAGTCAAGTCCTCTTTTATATATGTCCCTCTGTGAAATGCTACCATTTTCTTTTTGAAAGCGTGACTAATCTCTAGTTTTTCCCTAAGAATCCCTATATTCAAATATCTGTTATCATATATTATCTGTGGAAATGTTCTTATTTTATTTGAAAACTTTATTTTTGAGATTCTTGAATATTTGTTGCTGACAATTTTCATATTAGCAGCTGCCTGAATACTGGGATACAATAGAAAACTCTGAGTTTCTAAAATACATGCCTAGTCTACTCCTAAAATAATTTTTTCAATACTTAGATTACTGACATTTATACATAAAATGAAACAGCTGCCTAGACAGACCATCAGAACTCCCACAGTAATCATGTCAGTAACAAAAACTGCCTGATGTGTAAGCAAACAGAAATGCAAAACATTTCCATCCCATATATTCAAAAGTATCACTGAGAAGTGAGCTGTAATAAATGACTGTAATGATTTATCCCCAAGAAATGAAACTTATTGTCAATAAACACATGGTGTTGAGAACAAGTTTAACAAAGTCTTATCAAATTTCAAATTCTACTTATCAGAGGAAAAAATGCTCATCGCTTCAAACCTTATGAAACCTGAACCCATGGCCCAGGGGCCAAGTTTGCTACCTTTTTTGTTAATGGCACTTCTATGGGGACAGGAACCAGTTCTGCCAGGAGACACCCATAAAATGCAACCATGAACATCACAGGGTCACTGTTCGGAAACACCAGCGCCACCTACAGCAGCACAAAGAACAATCATGGAATCGACTGGAGAATGACTCTGTCATCTCAACTTCTGGAGTATCTGCTAATGATTAGATGGAATTGAGACATATTTTATTATTTTAGAATCTGGGATTTAATTCTTAGTCCTTAAATTTTCTCAACCATGTAACTTTTTAAAAATATATATATATTTTTTATTGATTTTTTACAGAAAGGAAGGGAGAAGGATAGAGAATTAGAAACATCGATGAGAGAGAAACATCAATCAGTTGCTTCCTGCACACTCCCTACTGGGGATGTGACCGCAATCAAGGAACATGCCCTTGACCGGAATTGAACCTGGGTCCCTTCAGTCCGCAGGCCGAAGCTCTATCCACTGAGCCAAATTGGTTAGGGCTCAATCATGTAACTTTTAATAAATCGTTTTTAGGTTGAGGTCTCTACTCCCCATACAACAAAATAACTTTAAATTTCTGGATTTAAAGACAGTTCATCTGGGTGGCAGCAACTCAGGGATGGACCATCACCCACCATCAATTGGCCCAGGTGAAAATCACCTGTATCAACACGAAAAGTAAACAAGAGATCATATTATATCTAAAATATCTTCCAAAAGAAGAAATCCTAACGCCAAAGTTTTAATTGAACAGATCTCCACTCAAGACTTAAGTATATTCACGGGGAAGGATGGTGGGTACAAAATCCTCAGTTGAGATCCCTACAACTGCTTCCGCCGAGTCCCTCTTCCCACCTGGTTAGCATGCTGCTACTGTTTATATTTTGTAATTCTATTTTATCTATCTTACATTTTTATTTTTGTCAAATTTTTAAAACACAGAATTTAAAATGAACCAAAAAAGTACTAATGAAAAACAATACCACCCCATGCTCCACACTTCCCCACTCCCTAAGGCAACCACTTTTTAAATATTTTACATCTTCCTTTTGCTATTTACTCTCATATTTTCAAATATTTTGCTTACAGTTTTATCTTTTGAAAATATTCAGGTACTAATTTTATTTCCTGTTGTTGTAGATGAATATTTAGCTCTCCTCTCCCCCCTTTTCTTCTTCCATCACCCCAATTTCCATTTCTTATAATAATCTGGTTACATGAAAAGCTATTTATGGAAAAAGTATTTTTTAAAATATATTTTTATTGATTTCAAAGAGGAAGGGAGAGGGAGAGAGAGATAGAAACATTAGTGATGAGAGAGAACCATTGATTGGCTGCCTCCTGCCCGCCCCACACTGAGGATTGAACCCACAACCCGGGCATATGCCCTGACCGGGAATTGAACTGTGATCTCCTGGAATAGGTCAACGCTCAATCACTGAGCCACATCAGTCAGGCTGGAATAAGATTTTTTTTAAAAACCCCAAGTAGTGTAATAAGTGTGCTTGAAACCATAGTGATGAGTCAGAATATTATTTGAGCAGACTTTTAACACAGGCCTCTGAACACAGAACAATGGATAACTAATGAATAATTCTCCTCTTTGTAAGGCAAAATTCAAACTGTACCTATATTTATTCTGTAAACTTAATCAAGTTTCTAACAAGTTAGTTTGTTGAAAAGCTCTCCTTCTAAAGTTGATGTTAACAGAGACTGTTCCAGAACTGTGAATTATAGCCTTGTGACTAGATGTTTGGTATAGAAAACATGTTTTTAGAGAATCTGTTACAAAAGAGTTGTGTTTGTTCACTTTTAAAAGTATATTAACACAGGAGGATGAATTTGCCACCCATCTCTGATAATTAACTCACTGTGATGTTGTCAACCTTTTTATAATTATGTGGATTCTCTAGCAAGTCAAGACAGTATCTGTAAGTCTTTGTCCTTGCAGGAATTTTCTTCTAGAAAAATAAATTACTGATTCTTAGGTTCATTATAAATCAGGGATTCTTTCAGACTCACTCTAAAGCACAACACATTGAAGTATCATTCTCGTACTGTTGCACTTTCACAATCAGGTACACATCTCCTTTCTTTCTGATGGTGACAGCTACCAGCATTCATACTGGTTCTGCTCTCTACATATACATTAGCCAATCTGCTTTAAAATATCCCACCGCATGTGTAAATATCTATCAATAGTATTCTCCTGCCGAAACCGGTTTGGCTCAGTGGATAGAGCATCGGCCTGCGGACTGAAGGGTCCCGGGTTCGATTCCGGTCAAGGGCATGTACCTGGGTTGCGGGCATATCCCCAGTGGGAGATGTGCAGGAGGCAGCTGATCAATGTTTCTCTCTCATCGATGTTTCTAACTCTCTATCTCTCTCCCTTCCTCTCTGTAAAAAATCAATAAAATAAAAAAAATAAATAAATAAAATTAAAAAAAAATAGTATTCTCCAAATAGCCAACCAGGCAGGTGAACTCATAAGTTTTACCAGCTGTGGACCAGCCCCACCCGCACCCTGGGCCATGTGTCCTCCTTCTCCTGCTAGGCTGCTCCTGGGGGACTGCCTTGTGGCTCTCAGGTTTGGGCTCCACTCACTCATTCCACTGAAGCACTCATCCTTTAGGAACCTCCCAAGAAAGAGTGCTTGGGAGTCAATTTTTTTTGAGTCCTGTGTGTCTGAAAATGGTTACGTATCTTCACATTTGTTGAATAACTAAGAATAGAACTGTAGGTTAAAATCAGATTCCCTCTGAACTTCTGAAGGGTCACACTGGTCTCCCCCAATTTGACTGCTGACCCCATGTATACATCCTACTTTCCCCTTAGGCTCTGCACCCTGGTCTTGAGCAGTAACATGCTTTTGTGCTCATGCGCATTTGTGGAGCTACTGTGTTCACTGCAGTCTTCACTTTAAAGCAAATGCTCTCCAACTCCAGAACATCATTTTAAATTATTATCACTGAAAATTTTGTATTCTTTCTCTTTCCTCTTTCTGAATCGCTATCAGATGTTGGGCCTTCTTGATCAATTCTAATTTTGGCACTGTTTTTCCTTCCTACCATCCATCTCTTGTTCTTTTATTTATTTATTTTTCTTCATCATAGACTCTAGGAATTTTAATACTAATTTTCTGAAAATTTGTTTTCTGTATCTAGCTTTCCTCCAAGTTCATTTGTTTCTTCTTCCTCCTTTCCTTTTCCTTTCATTTTTTTGCCCTTTGGTTATCTTCTTCCACATTAAAGTTTCCTTCCTGAAATGTCCTTGGCTTCTAGTTTTTCAATTAAAAAATGAGGCACTCAAAGAGTTGCCTGAAACTCTATGACAGCTTGTCAACTTATATTTTCATTTCTGACCCTGGGCAACCTTTTCCACTAGTTTACACTGCTAAGTTTGTTGATTTTCACCATGTTCTCCTGTTTTCTCTCCTGGACCTTCTGGTATATCTAGGTTCCTCAAGTCTGGTTCAGTTTGCCAAGAACAATGCTGTCTAATAGAATTTTCTACAATAATGAAAATGTTCTATTTCGAGCTATCAAATATGGTAGCCTACTGAGCCCTTAAAATGAGGCTTGTGTGACTAGGGACCTATATTTTTTATCTTATTTCATTTTGGTTAATTTAAATAGCCTCATATGGCACTGTCAACTACTTGGAACAGTTTAGGACAAAGATCTAAGCCTCTAGCCTCCTTTGCATGCTATTAGGGCTGATCGGTTAAGAGGGGATGGTGGTCCAGGAACCACACCTACAATGACCCTCCTATTTCCAGTGTTTAGAGCATACTGGTTGGTCAATAAATATTTTTTGAATGAACAAAAAATTAAATAAAATTGTTTCCTAAAAAACAAAAACAAAAAGAAGAGAGGATGGTGGCCTTGCCACATGGAATAGGAAGAATATAAAGCACACAGAATTTCAAAGTAAGGTTGTTTCCTCATAAAACTTAAGCTTTGAATATTTAACATTTATTAATATCCGATATAAATATTTTTATTAAAATCAACATATTTGAAGTCAAAGAAAAAAGAAGTTGAAGAATCAGTGGGTAGGCAATGAGAAAAAAAAGAATAATCATTTTATCTACATCATCAAAATTTTTTTCCATATTTAATATTTTTCCATGCTGATTTTAAATCCCTTGTATTAATGCTGTAAGTCTAACCAGCTGATAGAACATTGATTTCAATGCAAAAAATTTTTACAGTCTCTGTTTTTGCTCACTCCAATAGTTACATTCTAGTTACTTACTCTGTCTCCAGGTTTAAGTAGTGGTTCATTCTTACTAGTCAGTTTATTAAGAAGAGTATAAGCTAGTTTTAAACTCCGACTCCAAAGTTTCCCTAAAATGAAATAAAAATACTAAGCAATGTCAAATTTAAGAAACTAATAATTATCATTTTAATATAACAATCATAATACCCCACAATGTACCATTATTCAATTTCTAAAAATTCAGGTAGTTTCCAAATGAAACTACAATGCTATAATAAAACATCATAGTTTTTTCCTCAAAAACAACTTACAAATTTATGTTTCTTAACATAAAAATAATATAGGATTTTATCATAGAAAATTTAGAATATAGAAAAGTCAGCAGAAAAAGGTCAGCATTCTTTGTTACATATGTGTATATGTAACACATATATACTTATACATATGCACACACATACACATATATATATGTATATGGAATTTTCAAAAAATGAGATCATACTCCACCCTGCTTTTTTCAATCAACATTGAATTGTGAATGCATTTTTATGTCATTAACTTTGTCTCAATTACATCCCTTATAATTCATGTAACCTTTACAACAATTCATGAGGTAGGTCATATCTTCATCTCTGCTTTTCACTCAAGATAAGACAGTCAGGGAGAGCCACCAGCTGCTGGAGTAGAGCATCTGGACCCCCAGGATCCAGCCCTTAACCCTATGAGCGCCTGCCCAACACACTTCTCCTGGCATGCAATCTCTATATTCAGCACCAGCCCTATGAATGCTCAGCAAAGAAGAGCTTCTTTGAAAAAGATAAGATTAAGGAAAAGTAAAGAGGACTGAAGGTACCTGGGGAGGTAGACAGAAGCAGGGATGATAATACAGTAGGAAGATAGAAGAATCTCAGTCCATCCCCAACATCCAAGGCAGCCTTAATGTTTACCCTAAGCAGTATACTAAAAAGTCCTAATTCAGTCCCTCTCAAATTCCTGTGGCATAACCCCATGCAGTCTGAGCAGCCATGCCCTCTGAATAAATGCTCAAATTTCATTGCAAATAATATTAAACTCAAGTGCAACATTGTGAAATAAGTGAATTGTGGGAGCTGAGAAATAAATGAGAAAAAATATGTAACTCAAAACACTGTTATTGCTTTTGTCTATATAAATGGTCAATTCAAGATGTCAATAACTAATCCAGAAAGGTTTCCAAACTGAATCCAGCTAGAATATAAAAAGAACAATGCTTCATAACCAAGTTAGTTTTATCCCAAGAATGCAAAGACAGTACAATATCTGCAGAATACTGAAAACAGATAAATGATCACCATCAAAAATGAATATAAAATAAACTGTTGTCAGACAAGCACTGAGACTTTCTCACCAGCAAATCCACAGTAAAATGAATACATACACGGGGAACTTACAGGCCGAAAAAGAGAAATTACGGTGGGAAATTCAGGACAGCAGGAAGGGGGCCATGTGACAAAGGAAAAATAGAGTATGACTACTGACTTCAGAGACAATCATGGAGTGTCCCATGGGTCGAAATAAAGTGCAAGAAAAGAAGAATGCAAGGGTGAAGGTGGGTTCTTCAGAAGCAGAGAGAGTCAGGCATGAGTAAAACTTGGGAAGGGAAAGGCACATGGTGAGATCAGGCAGGAGATAGTTTGACTGTGGCAAAGTCTGCAGGCCCAGCAGGGTGATCCAAAGTAGACTGCTCATAATGGGAGCCCATGCTGAGCAGAAACCAGGCCCTGAACCACTACCTTGCTTAGTCAGTGCCTAGGGCTACCCAAGCACAGCATAAACCAGACCTGAAAGCTGAATTCAACAGGTGGAGGCCATTAGCAAACCATGTTCCTCCCAGTGGACAGTAAGTTCCTTTCTTAGAGAATTACAAACCAATCTCTCTAATGAACACAGACGCAAGGATCCTTAACAACAGCGGCAAATCAAATCCAGACATTTACTAAAAAGATAAGGTATCATAGCCAAGTGGGATTTATTCTAGGAATACAAATATTGTTAACATTTGAAAATTAATCAAAGTAATTCATCAAATTAATGGGGGAGGGGAGGAAAACCATGACTATCTTGACAGAGAAGAAAAAGCACTTGATAAAATTCAATGTCATGGGGCGGGGGGGGGGGGGGAAAGAAAAGAGAAGAAGAAAGGACAATGGAGGGGAAAAAAGGGACATATGTAATATTTTCAACAATAAAGATTTATAAAAAAATGTAGGTTAAGAAAAATAAAGGCATATATTGATGACATCGCCCCCCTCCAAAAAAAAAAAATTCAATGTCAATCCATGATAAAAATTTTTTAGTAAACTCTTAGAAATAGGATTTCCTTAATCTGACAAAGAATTTCAACCATAAAAAAAAAAAAAAAAAAGCTTGGCCAGTGTGGTTCAGTGATTGAGCATCAACCCATGTACCATGAGGGCACTGGTTTGATTCCTGGTCAGGGCACATGCCTGGGTTGTGGGCTCAATCCCCAGTTGGGGGCTTGCAGGAGGCAGCAGATCGATGTTTTTCTCTCATCCATGTTTCTATCTCCCTTTCCCTTCCTCGCTCTCTAAAAATCAATAAAAACATATTAAAAAAAAAAGAACTTCGACAAACATCATACTTCATGACCTAAGATGGAGAATGAGGGGAGAATGCCCACTGTTCCACTCTGTACTAGAGGTTTTAGCTCGTGCAGAAGAAGCAAGAAAAAGAAATAAAAGTGGTTAAGTGCTGGAAAGGCCATAATGACACTGTTATTGTTCACAGAGGTCTGATTTTGAACACCAGATATCCAAAAGATATATGGACAAACAAGAAAATAATCAGTTAGTTTAGCAAGGTACAAAGTCACCACTTAAAAAAATCAATTGCACTTCTATATTCAAGCAACAAAATAGTAGGAAAAATTTTAATTATTCCATTATAATAAGAATAAATAATGAAAGATGCTCAAGACTTCTGTACTGAAAAGTAAAAAACATTACTGAAAGAAATTAAAGGACTTAAAAAAGGAGGAAATACTCTACTCATGAATCAATTTTCTTCAAATTGAACTACAGATTCAATGCAATGCAATAATTATCCCAGCAGGAATTTTTCCAGAAACTGACAGGCTAATTCTGAAGTTTACTTGGAATGCAAAGGGCAGTCAAGGAAATCTTAAGGAACAATCACAGAGCTAATGGACTTCTGCACCAGACACTGAGACTCATAATACTACAGTGATTCAGGGGGTGTGGACAGACAGCACACTGACTAAACAGAACAGAGTCCGCAAACAGAACCACAGGTGCACTTTCCACCCCAATACCTGAAGAACTAGCTTTCCAATAAATGATAATGGGTCATAGATATTCCTAAGGAAATAAAATGGCTCCCATTTCACAAATTAAATTGCAGATGCATTTTAACATCCAAATGTAAAAAGTAAAACAAGTTTTTAGAAGCAAAAGTAGAAAAATATTTTTGTGTCCTTAGGTTTGGCAAAAACGTCCTATAAAGGACAAAAAAAAGCACTATAGTAAAGAAAAAAATAGGTAAATTAGGTTAATAGTTCTCATTTATCTAAAGCTATAAAAGGCAATACAAAGAGTGGAAGAAGATATATGCAAAACATATATCTGAAAAGACGTGTATCTGTAAATATAAAGAAAACATTAGCAATTAAACAGAAAAATGAGACAAAGATTTGGATAGTTCATAAAAGAGAATATTCAAACAGCCAACAAGCATCATTAGTCATCAGGGAAATGCAATTAGCATTTCTTAAAACTATAACACACAAGAAAGGCTAAAATGAAATAAACAGGCAATGCAAGGGTTGGCGAGGATGTGGAGCACCTGGGACTGCACACATTGCTGGTGAGAATGAAGACTGCCACTATCACTTGGAAAACTGTCTGGCAGAATGATCTAAAGCTAGACACTGCTCTCTGCATTTACACCAGCACAAGCTCCGACCTCCACAGGTTCACCAGCAGACCCACAGGAGAATGTTCATAGCAGCACTATACATGATAGCCCGAAAGTGGAAACAAACCAAATGTCCATCTACTGCAGAGTGCATGTTCACAGAATAAAATAATATCCATGGATCAGAATAAACTACTACAATTCACACACATCATAGATGAGTCTCACAAACAATGCTGAGCAAAAGAGTGCAGACCCAGAACACCTTTCATGTAATCCCATCTATAGAAAACTCAAAGGCAAATAGAGCCAGAGGTGTTAGCAGTCAGCACAACAGTTTGCCTTTAAAGTGTGGGAGGACGTGAATGCTGGAGGAGAACCTGGAAATGCTTCTCAGCTGTGTGCTGAGTACATTTACTCTGTGCATCAGGTTATGTGCTTATGATCTGTTACATAAAAACACAGTATGAAACAAAAAGATGCCGAACACAAAAAATACATACTGTACGATTCCATTTAAACAAAGTTCAAAATTAGACAGAACTAAACTCCATTGTTCAGAAATGCATATATAGATGGGAACACTTGAAGCCAAAGCAGTGGCCAGGCACCATCAGTCAGTAAGTGGTCCCCTCTGGTGGGAGGAGATAGTGGTCTGGGATGGCCACCTGGAGTGAGGCAATGTTCTACTTGTTAAACAGTTGTGTTAGTTTCTCAGGAATTTGTTCTATCATGTTCATCAAGTGTATGTCTATGTTGTTTGTATAAAGAGAGAATATCGCTTTATTGTGACACATGTATTATTTTACAGCTACACCACAGCCAATTGCCTTCTATTGACACTTGCCATAGGTGAGGGTGTAGACGGCCTTCCCAGTTGTGTCCAAGGCAGTCAGACAGGGGGCTTTGGGCTGCATTGTGCCCCACCGCTGCAAGGCAGCCAGCAGTGACGGTGGCCAGGGTGTCCCCAAGGACAGAGGTTCCCCTTTCAGCACTACCATCTGGCTTCCCTCAGGCTTTGGCTGATTTGGATCTGGTTGCTGAACTATAAGCAAAATTGAAATTTTAAAATCAACATTTCATAGTATCATGCACACATTGTATTTTTAAGCATTTATATTTTATAATATTGTTTTTCTAAAATACCAATTATAAAGAGGTTAGATTTCCTTATCATTATAATAGTCACAGACCAACTGACCAAAGACAGATGGAGATTGAATCATGAATAATGATGGAGCCTGGTAACCTTAACCCCACATGACAATTCCCCAGGGTGGCAGCAGTGATGGCCAGGTTGTCACAGGGACAACCCTGACGACACCTGAGAAACAGGCACTAGTCCCTGCTTATAAAGGATAAAAGTGAGCAGAATCACCAGTTTGCTTTGGGTATTCAAAACAACTATCACCATGTTTTAGAAAAAATAAAGTTTATTATATTTTCAGTGGATATGTAACCAAAATTTGCCCTAGTGTAAGAAAGACTGCTCTCAAAAGCATTCATAAGATTGAATTCTGAATTTGAAAGACATTATCTAATTAAAAGGGGAAACAATGCCCTAAAAGCAGTATCTAATCCTCAAGTAGGACGGAAACACCCAGAGCTGGTCCTCCGTGGGGCGGTGACACTTCACAGAAGCTAAGGGGCTGGCCATGTGTCCTGGTGGCTCTAACACATTCATATGCTTGTATCTTGTACTGGGCTTTATTCCTGTTCCTTATCTATTAGCCTACACTTCTATCTCTTGGTAATTTAAAAAAAAATTAATCTATATGCTTTCTTCTAAATATATATCTCAAGTAAGAGGCTAAAATTCTGAAAAGGAGCCAAAACTATACTGAAGATATAATACTTTAAAACCTTGGGAAGAGGAGTATTCTAGATTTAAAGTTTAAATAAAAATTTGAATAATGTAAGTAAAATGAAACCTTAGAAGTATTCTTATAAAGTACTAACCAGTGGATCAGAGGCATAAGGAAATGGTAAGTGTCTTAACTATAAGCAATGAATTTTCCACCTGTTCAAATAAAGCTAGCAGTCACATGTGATACCTAATTCACAATCACACATGGTGACTACACGGGCTGCCAACAGAGAGAATATCACTTCACTGTGTCATAACGTCACAGTAATAACCCATGTAGGATGTACATCTGCCTGCATCTCCAGATGTAATGGTCACCCAGTTTACACAAGTGAGCCCAAGTCTGAGGATGCTCACCTTCCAACAGCTCCTCCATATCATCCACGAAGAACTCCTTCAGTGGAGGACGCTTCGGCCTCTTCAGGGTATTCAGAAGCTGCTGGATTTTGGAGGACACTCTGCTGTTCACAGGGACACCTGCCATGGGAAGAGGAACACTGAGGTTAGAACAGGCCATAGCCTCTGGGGAACAGGACATGGAAATGAGGTCCAGTGACCAACTACATGAAAAAAAGCACTGGCCCCATCAGACAGCCATTTTGGAATTGATTAATTCATTAACAAATACTTACTGAATGCCTGTTAGAAACTAGAACTTATTCTAAGCTAGTGGTTTTCAAAGTGGTCCAGGGGCCCCTGGGGGTGCCTGAAACCTTTTCAGAAGGTTCATGAGGTCAAACTACAATTGAGTCTTGAACAACACAGGTTTGAACTGCACCAGTCCACTTATATGCAGATTTTTAAAAATAAATACCTGCACTATTTTTGTCTGTGGATGCAAAGGGCTGACCATATGCATTGATCTATGCCACTTTATATGGGGAATTTGAGTATTGCAGATTTTGGTATCTGTGGAAGGTCCTGGAACCAACCCCCTATAGATACCGAGGGATAACTAGTTTTTAGAAAGTCAAGTTATACGCTGATTTTCGACTATGCAGCACCAGCCACTGTTCATGGGCCAACTGTCCTTCCCTAGTCATATTAAGATACCATTTCCCTTTCACTCTCCTCCTCTCACAAGAGCACAGTGGACCACACATCATGTCATAGCACAACAGACTGAATGGGGATAAGATACAGAACCAGGTATTACTGTTATGCCAGCCATGAGACCAACTGGCAACAATGGAGAAAAAGTCTATTCTTCCCCCTAAATTTTCGTTTTACAAATGTTTTTCATAAATATGAGCTATTTATGTTAAGCTATAGAGTTTATTATTTTTTAAATGAATAAATATTTTTTAAACCTTTAGTTTTAATTTCTAATATGGTAAATATCAAGAGCTATAATCCACTTAAACTAAAGCTCTTTCATGTCCTCAATAAATATTAAGAAATGCTGTTCTAGCCCGGCCAGGGTAGCTCAGTGGTTGAGCGTCAACCTATGAACCAGGAGGTCACGTTTGATTCCCAGTCAGGGCACATGCCCGGGTTTCAGGCTCGATCCCCAGTGTGGGGCAACAAGCAGTTAGAAAAATATTTAAATACCATTTACAATAGCATAAAAAATAGAACATATTTTGGGATAATTTTAACAAAATATGTACAATAACTGCATTGAAAGCTATAAAATAGTGCTAAAATTTTTATAAGAGCTAAATAAATGGAAAAATACACTATATCAACTGAAGCATATAATATTATATTTTTATAAGAGCTAAAATAAGTGGAAAAATATACTATATTTATCAACTGAAACATATAATATTATATTTTTGTAAGAGCTAAATAAATGGAAAAATATACTATATTTATCAACTGAAGATGCCAAGTCTTTTCAAATTGATCTAGAGAGTCAATGAAATACCAATCAAAATCTGGCAGGAATTCTGGTAAAAATTAACAAACATTTAAAAATATATATTACAATGCAAAGAAGCTGGAATAGTCAAAGCAAATTATTTTTTAAATATTTTTATTGATTTCAGAGAGGAATGGAGAGGGAGAGAGAGATAGAAACATCAATAGTGAGAGAGACTCACTGATTGGCTGCCTCCTGCACACCCTCTACTGGGGATTGAGCCCCGCAACCCAGGCATGTGCCCTGACTGGGAATCAAACCCAGGACCTCTTGGTCTATGGGACAACGCTCACTGAACCACCACAGCCAGGCTAGTCAATGCAAATTTTAAGTTGAAAAGTAGAGTTGAGGACAAACTACACAACTTCAAGATTTATTATAAAACTACAGTAATCATGACGAGTTGCTATTTATATAAGGATGGACAAATATAGCAATTGAATAGCATAGAGGTCCCAAAAATAGATTCCTCTAATATATGGTCTACTGATTTTCATTAAAAATGCCAAAGATGCCCTAGCTGGTTTGGCTCAATGAATAGAGCATCAGCCTGCGGACTGAAGGGTCCCAGGTTCGATTCCAGTAAAGGGCACATGCCCGGGTTGTGGGCTCGATCCCCAGTAGGGGGTGTGCAGGAAGCAGCCGATCAATGATTCTCTCTCATCACTGATGTTTTGATCTCTCCCTCTCCCTACCCCTCCCTCTCTGAAATCAATAAAAATATATATTTTTTAAAAATGCCAAAGAAACTTGGTGGGAACAGAATGGTATTTATAAATGACGCTGAAACAACTGGACCTCTCTCTTTAAAAATCAATAAAAACATATTTTTTTTTAATTAAAAAAAAAAGTTAAACACAGACCTACTACATCAGTGGTTCCCAAACTTATTTGGCCTACCGCCCCCTTTCCAGAAAAAATATTACTCAGCACCCCCTGGAAATTAATTTTTTTTAAATTTTAATAGCAATTAAACAGAAAGATATATGTATTAATGTTTCTACCTTTTTCGTAAAATACAGTAAAGGTGTAAATTAGAAACAATGAAGTTTGAAATTATGAAACTATTTATTGAACTCAGAATAGAAAGGTAATACAAAAAAAGTTAAAACAAATGCACCTGTGGCCATCACCGCCCCCCTGGATCGCTGCAGCGCCCACCAGGGGGCAGTAGCACCCACTTTGGGAATCACTGTACTACATGATCCAGCCATTCCACTCCTGGGTATTGACCCAAAAGAAATGAAAGTACACACCCACACAAAGACCTGCATAAAAATATTCACAGAAGCTCTATTTGGAATAGCCAAAAACTGGAAACAATCAAAATATATATTGATAGGTAAATAGATAAACTGTTTATCCAAACTGTGCATCCATAGAACAAAATCTACTCCTCAATTAAAGGAATGAACTATTGATACGTGCAAGACCATGAATCTCAAAATAAGTATGTAGAACAGAAGAGTCCAGACACTAAAGAGTAAATACTGTATGATTCTATTTACATAAAATGCTAGAAAATGCAAACTAACAACAGTGCCAGGAAGTAAATCAGTGGTTGCCTAAGAGGAAGCCAAAAAAGGGTGGCAGGAGGTCTGACAAAGAAAACTTTTATGAGGGCTGGATATGCTCAGTGTCTTGATTGTATGGATGGTTTCAGGGTTGTACACATATCTTAAAACTTATAAAATCTCACATTTTAAATATGTGAAATGGGTATGTCAATTTTACCTCAGCTAAACCCTTATTTTTTAAAAAACATATAAAGAATAATAAATCAAAAATCTATCGAACCAATGGAAAGCCTGCTTCATGTTGACTTGGTATTTTCCTTTTGCATTTGAACAAGAAACTAAAAGACTTCAACACAATTTGTCCTATTGCTTAAAAGGATCAAAATATACGATCAAGGCTTAGATCTGAGAGCCCCTGGAGTTCTCTGCAATTCAAATCCAGCACACTGGAAAGAAAACTTCACATGACTTTGATAAAAGACATTAAACCTGTTAAGCAAGACCCTGAAATTGCACTAACAGCACTGGGCCTGCACATCAGGAACCGTGCGTGCTGCTGTGCCCATTTCACAGGTTGCTGAGAACAGTGTATGAAGACACTGCCATGTTGCAGGCGGGTGCACTCACACCAAGACTTGATCTGCTGAACACATTGTGTTGAAATAAGAGCTTTCCGTGCTTCTCATGTTCCTACAATACTATAGATCCAAACTCCTTTTGCACTCAACTAAAATTTGGAGGTTTTCTCCTCCCTACTCTCCTTGTCCACTGGACCAATTATACAGATATTTCTGATCATTTCTGCACATGGTGCTTTCTGTGATAACATGTACTGCACACACTGTTCTCAGTTTACTGCACTGAAGGGTTATAACTACTGACTGGCTCAGGTTTGCTATAGCGAGTACATGAAGGGATGTTCAGTACCTGAAAAGAACCTGTGCTCAGACGCGTCAAAAGGAGAAAGAAAGACATGCTCACCACCTGATGTGTCCAGGAGGCGTCCGCTGCACCCCCGAGGGACGCCTCTCACAGAGGCTGGCTGTGGACGCTCACAGGGCGAGTACTCCACAAGGCCAGTGGTGACATCAGGAGGGGCAGAGTGCAGATCTGCTTTTGAAAAACAAATCCAAAACAAAAGTGTTGTTAATTCAAAAGACCAGTAAGTTGCTGTTTAAACCCCATTTGAGTAAAGCTTCTCTTGCTGAGCTCTAAGCAAGGAGCATGGTATGCCAATTAATTTTGTTTTTCTCATTGACCAAGGCACTCAGGGACCTTGTGAACTCTCAGTTCCCAGACATGGTATGTAGACCTGTGTGCATGAGGGATCCAGACTAGAACCACCGACCACAGCACAGACACAGGCACGAGTGGACTCGCCTTCCATATGATGTTTTACTCAGAAATTTCCCTCGATGAAGCAGAAATACATTTCAAATCAATTGTTATTAGACCATTCTTTATTATATTATGAAAAAAACAGACTAACCCACACACCCCCAAAAAGTACGTTGGATGTCCCAAAGACATAAGACTTTGCAGGCTTCAAAGAATAAACCTACAAAGATAAAAACTACCATTATGGCCAGTTCAACACATCTCACTGTTAAGAGACTACAACGTATTTCTTTAAAGACAATTTAGTTACATACAGAAAATTTTTAAAGTCACTCCCTTCCACTGTCTGAATGTACATTTTTGTGTTGAATTTTCATTGTATGGCAGGGACATTGATCTGTTCTGTTCGGAATGCTGGCTGACTGTAAGTTGCTTTCACATTATCGTTACAGTTGAGTCTCCCACTATGAAAGGCACCATGTCTGCACAACTACCAGAAATTGGGCCCTCCCATAACACTAGAGCAAGTACTTGTCCACTTGTGAGATCGATATTAGCTATGTCAGTGGTGACCTATAATCTGTTTAATCTTCTAATGAATGCTCCTGCCATCACAGATGGCACGCTAATATTTTAAATTTTAAATTCTGACAATCTAGCTATCATTTCATAACCTAGAAAGAAATTTTTAAAATATGTAGAAATATGAAATTATATGGAAGGAAAACACAAACTATTTACAGAGCAGAAAATAGCATTTGGAAAAATCTAAATTTTTTTTTTAAATATGTTTTCACTGATTTCAGAGAAGAGGAGAGAGGGAAAGATAGAAACATCAATAATGAGAGAGAATCATTGATCAGTTGCCTCCTGCATGCCCCCCACTGGGGATTGAGCCTATGTGCCCTGAACGGGAATCAAACCGTAACCTCCTGGTTCATGGGTGGACACTCAACCACTGAGCAACACTGGCTGGAGGGAAAAATCTAACTTTAATTATAGAGCTTTCATAACCAATAAAAAAGCTTGATGTTTATGAAATCAGCCATTTAAAGTATGCCTATCATAAAGTTCTTTCAGTTTAAAAATAAATCTCCCCATCTTTCTAAATCTAACAAAAAGAATAAATGATTTTAATAGTACTCATGAAAAAGGCATAAATGGTAATCTTAACTAAAAGTAGTTTTTAAAATAATTGCATAGGACAGGGATGGGCTGGAGAGGGTTAATGGGGGGTGGGGGGAAGAAGGGGGAAGGGGACAAATGTAATACTTTCAAGAATAAAGAATCATCATTGCCCTGACCAGTTTGGCTCAGAGGCTAGAGCGTCAGCCTGTGGACTGAAGAGTCCCAGGTTCGATTCCAGTCGGGGGCATGTACCTTGGTTGCGGGCACATCCCCAGTGGGGGGTGTGCAGGAGGCAGCTGATGGATGTTTCTCCCTCATGGATGTTTCTAACTCTCTATTCCTCTCCCTTCCTCTCTGTAAAAAATCAATAAAATATATTTTTTTAAAAAAAGAATCATTAAATAAGTAAAAGAGTTGCATAAAAGTAAGCAAACTACATTAAAAATAAAATTAACTACTATAACTAAAAGTACTACTTTTAAATATATGTATTTATATTTGTGTCCAAATGTTTTATGTATTTTATTTCCTTAATTTAATATTGAAAATAATATATTTTTAAAATTATCTTTACCTAATATATGCTACCTCAAATTTTTTACCTAAATATTCTTGTTCTTTCTGTATTTCTTTCCTTAACCTAAACTGAAGAACTCAATTTAGTGTTGGACACTAAAACAAAGGATGATTTTTATAATTGAGAGAGAGAAATTGAGTATTTTCACATTCAGAAATTCAAGCAACTATATCCAGTAAACATATAGCATATGAAGGCTATAATCACAGTATGGTATCAAACAAAGCCTAAGTTAAAAATTTTAGAAATTACTAGAATTAATCACAGTGTGGATGCAAAGTCAAGCAAGGGGGGTGGGAGACAGACAGGTTCAGCCACACTAGCAGAGGCCAGGAGTCCTCATTGCGAGGTGATGAATCCACCTCATGAATCTTCACAATCAGAGCCTCTCTGAGAATGAAAACACCTCACTCAAACACACTTACAGCCGAACGCTTTGTTAAAAGACCCACAACTGAAAAGTTGAAGGTTGTCTGGCTAAACATTCTGACCTGTGGGCAATTTATTAATACATCAGTGCAAAAGCTATTTTGCATGTTCTCTCGCTAGGTTCTGTCTCTAGGTTCTGAGGCCAGTTTCTGTCCAGGAAAGCTATCCACTGTCAATCTCCTTGAGGAAAGGTGGGCAGTAACCAGTGGCCACTGGTAGGATGCCGGGAGCCGGTCCATGCTTGCTGTTTCAAGGGACCTGGCATATATGGCATACTGTTCTTAATATGTTTGCTCACCTTCTTGGCACTATGTGTTTTAACCAAGGTCACCTCTCTGAGAAAGGTTGTTTCCCCAGGTAGGGATTTTCCCCTGAAGTTAGGGAGGGAATAAAACCTCTTAACTAAGTGCCAGGTGGGTAATTAATCACTTTAACTACGAACAATCATGCTTAAGCTACATAATCTTTACTCCCTGGAATGGAGATAAGAAACGCCCTAACCTTTGAAATAGAGATTGATAGGATTGGAATCAACTGGTATAAATACAGATGTCAGAAGACAGAACCAAGAGAGACAGAACCTAGGCACAGAACCTACACAGAACGTTCTCTAGAGACAGAAGAACTTCGCTGGAGAGAACATGGCAAAAGATCCTGGACAGAAACTGGCCTCAGAACCTAGAGACAGAACCTAGCGAGAGAACATGGCAAAAGAACCTGACTAGAACCTGGTAACTGAACCTGGCTGGAGAACCTGGACAGAACCTGGCTGGAGAACCTAGCGAGGGAACTTGGCTACAGAACCTGGCTGGAGAACCTGGCTGGAGAACCTAGCAAGAGAACATGGACACAGAACCTGGCTGGAAATCCTAACCAGAACTTCGCTGGAGAGCCTGACCAGAACTTGGCTAGAGATCCTGGCTAGGCTGCTGATCAACTGAACACTGTCTCTGTGTCCTTCCTTCTTCGCTGACTCCGTCTACGCCTTTGGGGACCCCTGGACCTGCTGGGGTTGGACCCCGGCAGTAGGACACCTAGGAAAGCTACCAAAACAATCTGGGCGGGCTGTTTGTCAAAGGCATCTTTTCGCCTGAAACATGCTGCCCTGCCAGCCAGTGGTCTCTGTGTACTGGAAGCACAGTGTAGCATGTGAGTTCTCATCTAAGACTCACATCACAATAGAAGAGACATGCTCAACAGAAACGTGCTTCAGGCACTGATGCAACAAATTTTAAAATGAAGAGATTCAGTGCTGTGCCCACAGAGGATGGTGAGACTAAAGCTGTCCGCCACTTACTTCCAGTCCAGCCAACCATTTATTCTCAGTCCAGTCAAATGGCCAAGATTTTACATGAAGAAGTTCAGCACCTGAGCCCAGAGCCTGTCCGCTATGACCCCACTGAAAATACCAGCCTGTCATAGGTGCACCATTTCAGTGTTAGCAGAACAGTATCTAACAGCAAAGAAAATAAAAAGGAATCAAGAAAACTGTCAGCCTGGAAAAACCAAGATGGCGGCATAGGCAAACACCTGAAATTGCTGCCTCGCACAACTACTTCAAAAATACAACTAAAAGACAAAACAGACATCATCCAGAACCACAGGAAGGCTGGCTGAGTGGAAATTCTACAACTAGAAGGAGAGAGAAAAGCACACTGAGACTCAGAGGAGGTGTGGAAGTAAAGTGCAGAGGTACGGAGGCGCACGTGGAAAGGGCTGGCAACGGACGCCGGTATCTTTTTCAGTCGGGAGGAGAACACACGCTCCCGCTCTGAACTCCAGTTCCGGGCGAGTCTCTGGGGACCCAGACTCATACAGGGAGAAACTGGACTGTCTGGCATCGGTCGGAACTCGAGGGTGGCTTTCTCTCAGAGGTGCTTACAGCGATTATCGGGACACTGAGACCCAGGGGCCACTTAGGGCAGGACTGAGGATTAGCCATAGCGATTAGCTCCGCCCCACCCAAGTTGCAAGCAGAGGCTTTTGCATATGAATGGGCTGGCCCTTTGCGATCTAAAATTGCCTAACAGCCCAGACTGGTTTGGCTCAGTGGATAGAGCGTCGGCCTGCGGACCAAAGGGTCCCGGGTTCGATTCCGGTCAAGGGCACGTACCTCGGTTGTGGGCACATCCCCAGTAGCGGGTGTGCAGGAGGCAGCTGATTGATGTTTCTCACTCATCGATGTTTCTAACTCTCTAACCCTCTCCTTTCCTCTCTGTAAAAAAACAATAAAATATATTCAAAAAATAAAATAAAATTGCCTAACAAACTGCAGCTGGGTCAGAGAGACCCAGAACATCCAAAAGAAGGCTCAAGGCCCCACAGCAGCTTGCATTGCTTCACAGCTGGGCCTCATCTGGGCACCTCCAAACCCCAAACAAGGAAGAGGAATCTGCAGATATCTCCGTAGCTCCTGCTGGGTAGCCTCAAGCAGAGGCTAAATTAGCACCTCCTTAGAGATCCAAGAGCCCGTGTACCCAGTGGTCGGATTGGACCATCCAGATTACAACTCTTCAGATCCATAAGGTACACACTCAGGGAGCAGATTCAGTGAGCACCAAAGCCCCACTGAAGCAAGTCTTGCCTCATAAGGGTGTCTCCAGCACAGAAGCTCTCCCACTGCAGACGCAGCTGATTCTCACAGACAATTGGCCTGGAAGTCAATTCCTCCCAGTGATACCTACAACAATCAACGCTTAAATACAACAAGACTGTGCACACAGCCCACAAAAGGAGTGCACCAAGAGTGTCCACCTCAGGTAATTGGGGAGGCTGAGCCACTGGGCCCTATAAGACACCTAGCACACAAAGCCACTCTATCAACACAGGGAAGCAGCCAAAATGCGGAGACAAAGAAACAGGTCACAAATGAAAGAAATGGAGGAAAGCAAACTACTAGATATAGAGTTCAAAACCACGGTTATAAGGTTTTTCAAGAATTTTCTAGAAACTGCCGATAAATTGAGAAAGACCCTGGAGGATATGAAAAAAGACCAACTAGGAATTAAGCATACACTAACTGAAATAAAGAATAATATACAGAGATCCAAAAGCAGACAAGAGGATCCCAAGAATCAAGTCAAAGATTTGAAATATGAAGAAGCAAAAAACACCCAACCGGAAAAGCAAAAGGAAAAAAGAATACAAAAATATGAAGATAGCGCAAGGAGCCTCTGGGACAACTTCAAGCGTACCAACATCTGAATTATAGGGGTGCCAGAAGAAGAGAGAGAGCAAGATATTGAAAACCTATTTGAAGAAATAATGACAGAAAACTTCCCTTACCTGGTGAAAGAAATAGACTTACAAGTCAAGGAAGCACAGAGAACCCCAAACAAAAGGAATCCAAAGAGGACCACACCAAGACACATCATAATTAAAATGCCAAGGGCAAAAGACAAAGAGAGAATCTTAAAAGCAGCAAGAGAAAAAACAGTTAGTTACCTACAAGGGAGTACCCATAAGATTGTCAGCTGATTTCTCAACAGAAACTATGCAGGCCAGAAGGGAGTGGCAAGAAATATTCAAAGTGATGAATACCAAGAACCTACAACCAAGATTACTCTACCCAGCAAAGCTATCATTCAGAATTGAAGGTCAGATAAAGAGCTTCACAGATAAGAAAAAGCTAAAGGAGTTCATCACCACCAAACCAGTATTATATGAAATGCTGAAAGGTATTCTTTAAGAAGAGGAAGAAGAAGAAAAAGGTAAAGATACAAATTATGAACAACAAATACATATCTATCAACAAGTGAATCTAAAAATCAAGTGAATAAAAAATCTGATGAACAGAGTAAAGTGGTGAATATAATAGAATCAGGGGCATAGAAAGGGAGTGGACTGACTATTCTAGGGGATGGGGGAAGGGGTGTGGGGGGTGTGGGAAGAGACTGGACAAAAATCGTACACCTATGGATGAGGACAGAGTGGGGGGGTCAGGGCAGAGGGGTGGGGTGGGAACTGGGTGGAGGGAAGGTACGGGGGGCGGGGGGGAGAACAACTGTAATAATCTGAACAATAAGGATTTATTTAAAAAAAAAAAGAAAACTGTCAGCCTGGCTTCAACACTAAGCCAGCTGTGCAATCTCAGGTCAGTTATCAACCTAACTTTCTGTCCCCCCTCCACATCTACAAAACAGAGGGGTTACAAGGACTTATACGCAAACATATAGGCCTAACCAATGGACACGGATAACAGGGGGGTGGGGGCATGAGCAGGGGGATAGGGGGTAACGTGGGGATAAGGGCACATATGTAATATCTTAAACAATAAAAAAATACATATTTATAAAAAATAAAATAAAATAAAATAAAAAGACTGGATGATTTGGAAAAGTTCTATGGATCTTTATGACTTAGCTTTGACTGACATCCCTCTTCAGGTTGAGGGGTTATTTAACCTGGACCTCCTAAGCACAGGGGTTGTTTAATCTGGACCACCCCAGGTATGCACACAAGTAAAGAGCAAAAGCGGTGACAATGTCTAGGTTGCAGGCCAAGGGTGACCATCAGGGGCAACCACAGTCACATCTAACTGACCGTCCACCCTGCACCTGCCACCTGTGCCAGCCCACCCTCCAGAGCAGGAGGAGGCACACATCAAGAAATACCACGCACTTCTCTCGGAAGGCCCACAGGTCACAGTATCCGGGATCACTAAACCACAGAAGCATCAAGAACCACTTTTGTTACCAAAAGCCATTTTCCAGAGGAAAAGAAGTTGGATCTTGATGAGTGTAGAGATACCCCTGTCCTACAGAGGCCACAGCAGCTGTTACTAACCTATGTGGGCGTGGGCCACAAGGCCTGCGAGTGCGGCGGCAGGTCTCCCTCCCGGGTGAGATGAGGTGGAAGATGCGGAGGATGAGGTGGAGGAGCCCTGAATGACCCGGTCGAGCCAGGGCTCGACGCTGGAATGGCTCTGGAGCGGAGTGGAGGTAAGTCGCCCGGGTCGCCGTAAAGAGCCCTCATCTTCTGAGGCTGACGACGTGTCTGTGGTTAAAATAATGACGACAGGCATGATGTAGGTATGGGTCACCAAGGAGGGCAGGTTTCCACACTAGCACTCGGGCCTCCCAGCCTGCACTGCACAGCTGTGCCCACACGTGACCAAGGGGTCATCTCAAAGGTCACCTCAATCTAGAAGGGCCTGCGTCAACCAACTGTAAAATCCACAGGACCCTATCTGGGAAAGCTGGCTTCATGACCCCAGCCTCTCCCAGAGGAGTTAGTCTCAGGACACAATACACTGGGAGTGAAGACAGGCCCAATTCCTAAATGGCTTCAGCACATCCCTTGGTGGTGTCCCAAATATCAAAGGAGACTCCAAGCCCCACACCACCTTCACATGGCTGGGTACCCCACAGGGAAGGGTGAGCACAACTCTTAAGGTGAGGGGCTGTGGAGGCTGCACCACACCTCCAGGCCTTACCCTATTCACTTGCATCGCAAGCATGTTAAATAAACAAGGCATGCAGCCTGCCAGCTGGGAGTTTGACGTGCTTGCACGGTAGGAATGAGCTCTGGAAAGAATTCCTTCCCCAAAATAACTGCTTCAGTCAATAAAATTAACTGGGAATAAGGGTCTATCAAGTCTGCATGACTGCATTTTATTATAGGTTTCACAATTATTTTAAAGTTCTTCAAAAACTGGGTAGTATCGACAATTATACTTAGTAGAAAGAATAATTTGACAGCCATTTCTAAGATTTTTTTCAACAGTAAAAACTTTTTCTTTTTTATCAAGTAAACATTACCAGAACCACTAAATTATCTTATAAATCTGGTGTTTGGCTTTCAGTCACCAGTTTCAAAACTTATATAACAAAATAGGCAGCAGAAGTGCATGGATCTGAAGTCATTAAACCAACACCGTGGGATAGTCTAATAGGAAGCTTAAAAAAAATCACTGATGAAGAGAAACTCCATTTAAAGGTTTCATTTCTAATCATAATAACAACAAAGTAAAATTAAAAAACCCTCTAGATAGCCTTCTACTCTCCCATTTATGGCCTGGTAACAACACAATAAATGAGTGAATAATTTAAAAAATTTTAATCCAGGAAATCCTTGCATTTCACTGAGTACTCATTTTAGGTTCATCTCTTCCTTAAAGAACATAAAGAGCATCTTAGTAAAAAAACAAACAAACAAACAAAAAAACACAACTAAAATCTACACAAAATATCTTGTAGAAAGCAATTATCCATTTGGGTAAGAGCCATACTGTGTACACCACAAATTTTCAGGTAAAAAATACTGCACATATATAAATACTTTTAATCTTCATTTTTCCAGCTCTGTACTACAGGTCAGAAGGATATTCCAACTCATTGGGAAATGAAGTTATGACACCAAGCATGAGAAAAACCTGTGTGCCATTCCCGACCCAGATTTATCAGTACCTGGTGGGGTGCAGGTTTCCACAGATGAATGCACAAGAATAGACCGTCTTTTCGAAGGCAGAGGCATTTTCCTCTCTTTGTATTTGGCCAAAGCTGCTTGCACGGCTTCAGTGTGAACATCTACATAGAAAAAACAGTAAAAACACTTTTTATAATATTGGTTATGAAGTAGCAAAATTATGTCTCATGGTTTTCATTGAGTGTACCTACTCGTGGGTCCCACATGTTGTCCTAGGTTTCTTTAAATATTCCTTTGTTTGTAGATTTGACTTCAGAACCATATGAATATTTTTCACACTTATAAATGAAAACTAAATAAAAAAGAAATCCCCCAAATTGAAAATAAAATCAAACAAATGAACTTAAATATGTCTCCAGTAGTCAGCATAAACTACTCTAAACGATTTAACCTGTTCCTCTAGAGAAACATACTAAGGACAAAAAGAAGTGCATAACAGCCCTATCCAGTTTGTCTCAGTGGACAGAGCATAGGCCGACGGACCAAAGGGTCCTGGGTTCCATCAGGGCACATACTTCGGTTGCAGGCTTCTTCCCGGCCGTGGTCAGGGTTCGTGCAGGAGGCAACCAATCGATGTGTTTCTGTCTTTCCCTCTCTCTTCCACTCTCTCTAAAAATCAATGGAAAAATATTCTTGGATGAGGATTAAAAAATAATAATAATTAAAAAAGAAGTACATGAGACCACTTTCGTACATTTACATTTTTTCTCCCACAAGGTGTTTTTAAAATATTTAAGCCCTGGCCAGTTTTGCTTAACAGTTAGAGCATCAGCCCTTGGACCGAAAGATCTCAGGTTCAATTACCAACCAAGGGCTTGGTTTCAGGTTTGTCCCTGGCCCCTGTTGGGACACGCGCAGGAGGCAACCAATTGATGTCTCTCTCTCAGGTTTGTCTCTGGCCCCTATTGGGACACGTGCAGGAGGCAACCAATTGATGTCTCTCTCTCACATCGAAGTTTCTCTTTCTTCTCTCTCCCCCTCCTTTCTTTCCCCTTCATTCTAAAAAGTCAATGGAAAAAAATATCCTTGGGTGAGGATTAAAAAAAAATAAAAAGAAAAAATATTTTAAAACCTTACAATAAAATGGCTGATAACATGCTAATCAAAAAAGATGAAAAATTCACACCTAGACATACTAAAATAAAATTTACAAACATCAAAGGCAACAAGACAATTCTAAAAGCTTCCAGAGAAAGAGTAAACCATCTTGAAGGATCAAAAAATAGAGGGACATTCCTCTTGTAGAAGAAGGTGCTTGAGGGAGAGAAGGTGCTTGCAAATCCAGGAGCCCATACAATAGATACAGAAGACTATGAGCACACACTTTAAACCTGATTAGTATCTTAGAAACAAACAAAAACAGGTAAAATAACCCAGAACTAAAAATCTAGACAATATCAACACAACAGAGGTATAAATCAACAGATCCAAGAAACTCAACAAAGCACAATAAACATAAAGAAAACTACACCAAGACACATCATAATCAAATCACTCAAAATCAGTGATAAAGAGAAAAATACTAAAAGTTCCAGAGGAAGAAAGACACATTACATACATGGGGTCAAAAACAGGAACAAACTTGGAAAACTAACACTACTGATTTCAACAATTATTATTAAGTTATAATCATTAAGAAATTGGTTTTCCATAAAGATGGACGAATACATCCATAAATAGAACAGAGTCCAGAAAGAGAGCCATCCGTGCATGTGTGACTGCTTTTAGATAAAGAACAAACACTATATGCTCCATGCAAAAAATAAGCTTTGATCCATACCTTGAACTCATATGAATATTAACTAAAATATAGATTATAGGCCTAAAGGTAAAACATTAAACCGATAAAACTTCTAGGAGAAAACAGGTGAGAATCTTTATGACCCTGGATTAGGCAAAGATGTCTTAGATATAAGAACAAAAGCACTATCCACTTAAAAGAATTAATAAGTTAAACTTCATTAAAATTAAAAACTTTTGCTCTTCAAAAGCCACTTTAAGAGAATGCAAAGATAAGACAAAGCTTAGAAGAAAATATTGGCAAACCATATTTATGATAAAGGTCTTATATTCAAGTAAATAAAAAATCAGAACTAGAATAAAGTTCACAAGAGCAGAAAACAGTTTATTAACATTAGCAGTTACATGGAACTGGATAGTGGGGAGAATGGGGGCAGGGAAATAAGGAAGACAGGAAGGGGAACGAGACCCTTTATGTGATCCCATTCATGGACTACGTACATGCATGTGCATATATTTGACTCCAGGGCTGAAGATGGTATTCAGTGAAATACTGAGAGCGGTTGTCTTGGGATTCAGAGACTTCAGGTGATTTTTATTATTGTCCTTACACTAGGTGTAATAACTTTATACTACATGTAATATATATATACTAGAGGCCTGGTGCATGAAATTTGTGCACAGGTAGGGTCCCTAGGCCTGGCCGGCGATCAGGGCCGATCTGTGGGGTGACTGGCAGGGCGATTGGGGGGACCCCACTGGCACCCGCCTTGGCCGGCCTGGGGCCTGCCAGCTGAGGGCAGTTCCTGCATTGAGCATCTGCCCCCTGGTGGTCAGTGCGCAACATAGTGGCCAGTCGTTCTGCCGGTTGTGCTGCTGTTCGGTCAATTGCATATTAGGCTTTTATTATATAGGATTATAAGAAAAGAACAAAGTGTTTTTATATTAAATTGGTAAGAAATTATCTGATTAAAAATTTCTCAAATCCCTTCATCACACATCCTATTGATATAACATTTAAAATGTTAATGATCTTTCTAGATATTCTTAAAACAAAATGGCCATTTAAAACTTTTTTTTAATTTTATTTTTCATATAATTTACATGCAATATTATTTTGTAATAGTTTCAGGGGTACAGCTAGACAATCATAAACATTACAAAGTGTTCCCCTGGAATTTTCCAGTACCCACCTGATACCATACATAGTTACTATAATCCCTGTGCTATACTTTACATCCCTGTGACTATTTTGATTCTACCACTTTGTACTTCTTAATCCCTTCATCTTTTACACCCAGTCCCCCAATACCTCCAACCCCCGGCAACTATCAGTCTGTTCTTTGTGTCCATGAGTATGTTTTGATTTTGTCTGTTCTTTAGATTCCACATATAAGTGAAATCACATGGTATTTGTCTTTCCCTGACTGACTTATTTCACTTAGCATAATACCCCCTACGTCCATCCATGCTGTTGTAAAAGACAAGATTTCATTTTTTTTTATGGCTGAGTAATAATATACACCACTTCTTTTTTTTTAATATATTTTATTGATTTTTTACAGAGAGGAAGGGAGAGAGATAGAGTCAGAAACATCGATGAGAGAGAAACATCAATCAGCTGCCTCCTGCACATCTCTTACTGGGGATGTGCCCGCAACCCAGGTACATGCCCTTGACCGGAATCGAACCCAGGACCCACCAGCCCACAGGCCGACGCTCTATCCACTGAGCCAAACTGGTTTCGGCTATACCACTTCTTTATCCACTCATTTACTGATGGGCACATGGGGATTGCTTCCATAACTTGGCTATTGTAAATAACACTGCAATAAACACAGGAATGTATATATTCTGCTGAATTAGTGTTTTGGGTTTCTTCAGATACATACCCAGAAGTAGAATCACTGGATCATAAGGTAGTTCTATTTTTAATTTTTTTGCATTTCCACCAACAGTGCACAACAGTGCCATTTTCTCCATATCCTTGCCAACACTTGCAGTTTGTGGATTTATTGATGATAGGCATTCTGACAGGTGTGAGGTGATATCTCATTGTAATTTTAATTTGTATTTCTCTGATGACTAGTGCTGTTGAGCATCTTTTCATATGTCATATGTCTATCATTCAAGTGAAAATAATTTCTTCAGCAGACATTTTTAGTAAGAAAGAAATAACCGAGACAACCAAGATGGTGGCATAGGTAAACACCTGAATTTGCTGCTGCACACAACCACATTAAAACTACAACTAAAAGATAAAACGAATATCATCCAGAACCATGGGAAGGCTGGCTGAGTGGAAATTCTACAACTAGAAGGAAAGAGAAAAGTGCACTGAGTCCGGTAGGAGGTGCAGAGGTGTGGAAGTGCGGAGGTACGGAGGCGCGTGCCAAAGGGGCTGGCAGCTGGGTATGCTGTTGTCTTTTTCAATCAGGAGGGAGATACAAGCTCCTGACAGCTCTGAACTCCAGTTATGGGTGAGAATTTGGGGACCCAGACTCATACAGAGAGAAACCGGACTGTCTGGCATTGGGCCAGAACGTGAGGGCAGCTTTCTCGCAGAGGTGCTTGCGGCGGTCATTGTTCTGCACGGGGCTGCCCAGGACCTCTCCGAGGCAGAGCAGACTGGCAGCCATTGCGGTTTGCTCCACCCTGGTGATTCCCTGAGACCCCGCCTCACCCAATTTACAACCCCACCCAAGCTGTGCGCAGAGGCTTTTGCATATGAATGGCCTGGCCTTTCTCCACCTAAAAACCTGGGCAGACTCAGTGAGCGCCAAAGCCCCACTGAAGCAAGTCCTGCCCCATAAGGGTGTCTCCAGCACAGAAGCTCTCCCACTGCAGACACAACTGGTCCTCACAGCCAATTGGCCTGGAGGTCAATTCCTCCCAATGATACCAACAGCAATCAAGGCTTAACTACAACAAGACTGTGCACACAGCCCACAAAGGGGTGCACCAAGAGTGTCCACCTCAGGTAATTAGGGAGGCTGACCCACTGGGCCCTATAGGACACTTAGCACAGAAAACCACTCTACCAACACAGGAAAGCAGCCAAAATGCGGAGACAAAGAAACAGGTCACAAATGAAAGAAATGGAGGAAAGCAAACTACTGGATATAGAGTTGAAAATCACGGTTATAAGGTTACTCAAGAATCTTCTAGAAACCTCCAAGAAATATAGTGAGACCCTCAAGGATATGAAAAATGACCAATTAGAAATTAAGCATACACTAACTGAAATAAAGAATAATATACAGAGATCCAACAGCAGACCAGAAGATCCCAAGAATCAAGTCAAAGATTTGAAATATGAAGAAGCAAAAAACACCCAACCGGAAAAGCAAAAGGAAAAAAGAATACAAAAATATGAAGATAGCGCAAGGAGCCTCTGGGACAACTTCAAGCGTACCAACATCTGAATTATAGGGGTGCCAGAAGAAGAGAGAGAGCAAGATATTGAAAACCTATTTGAAGAAATAATGACAGAAAACTTCCCTTACCTGGTGAAAGAAATAGATTTACAAGTCAAGGAAGCACAGAGAACCCCAAACAAAAGGAATCCAAAGAGGACCACACCAAGACACATCATAATTAAAATGCCAAGGGCAAAAGACAAAGAGAGAATCTTAAAAGCAGCAAGAGAAAAACAGTTAGTTACCTTCAAGGGAGTACCCATAAGATTGTCAGCTGATTTCTCAACAGAAACTATGCAGGCCAGAAGGGAGTGGCAAGAAATATTCAAAGTGATGAATACCAAGAACCTACAACCAAGATTACTCTACCCAGCAAAGCTATCATTCAGAATTGAAGGTCAGATAAAGAGCTTCACAGATAAGAAAAAGCTAAAGGAGTTCATCACCGCCAAACCAGTATTATATGAAATGCTGAAGGGTATTCTTTAAGAAGAGGAAGAAGAAGAAAAAGGTAAAGATAAAAATTATGAACAACAAAGTGACAACAAATACATATCTATCAACAAGTGAATCTAAAAATCAAGTGAATAAAAATCTGACGAACAGAATAAACTGGTGAATAGAATCGAATCAGGGTCATAGAAAGGGAGTGGACTGACAATTCTCAGGGGGAAAGGGGTGTGGGGGGTGCGGGAAGAGACTGGACAAAAATCGTACACCTATGGACGAGGATAGTAGGGGGGCTAAGGGCAGGGGGTGGGGTGGGATCCAGGTGGAGGGGAGCTATGGGGGGAAAAAGAGGAACAACTGTAATAATCTGAATAAAGATTTATTTTTTTAAAAAAAAGAAAAGAAAGAAAGAAAGAACCCAAAGATTTAGAGTAGAGAGTAGAGGTCTGCTGCCTCTGGTCCCTACCTGACCGGAAACGCTCATCCCGTGAGTTGGTGGGCCGTGGCTTCTGCTGCTTAGGTGCTGCAGCCATGGTTTGTGAGGGCCCAGGGATCCTAGGCTCTGCTTGAAGGGATGCATCCACTCCTGAAACACAATTTTATACGTATGTCTTGTGTCAACCATTTGCTTTTCCAATTGTGGAAAAGCCCATTTTAAACAGCACACACTATACCAAAAACAATTATTTGAGCACATGCACCCTGTGCTGGCCCTCGCACCCCAAAGACCAAGTCAGGAGATCAAGGGGAAGCCATGAATGCCCACTTCCAGCTCTTTCCTCACAGCAGCCAGGCCAGGCTTGTGTCGTCATCCCCCATTCGCAAGAAAGATGACCATCACACAGCCAAATCCTGAGCCCCGTAAGCACCACACATGCAGCTCCTCAGGCAGACTCTCTAGAGAAGGTCCTTTGAAAGGGTATTTCTGCACCATAAACATTTCCTGAATCTGAAATGACCTGAGTCAGTTTTCCTGATACTGTCCATGGTATCAGTACACTCAGTGAGAAACAGCCCACTAAACAATCATGACAGTGTCACCAGTCATCCTTAGACACAGGCAGAAAATAAGTGGATTGGTGGAGAAAGAGAAGAGAGGCACAGATGACAATGATAACAGCAGACCACAGTGCTCAGACTCAGGCCCAACTGCCTCTGCCCATGACACCTGCTCAATGTCTCCACACCCAACTTGCTGATGGCTCTCTACACTCATAGCCAGGCCCACAGCTCTCATGTCCACCATCCCTGACTACACTGGTCCTCAGGAAACCATGTGATGAGTAAAGGAATGGGGTACAAGTGTGCAGTCATGTACACACACATACATATACACGTGCATCCATTAAACAAAACCTCTGGTGTTGTCTGAGTCCTCTTTTGCTGACATTTGAGAACAGCACAAAGAAAAGCCTTCAATTGTGCATCATCAAAATAATCGGCTTAATTTAGCCTTTGGTTCAAAATGTCTCATAAAAATAGCCAGCAGTATTTCAGTCCTACTGGTGCCTCCAGTTCTTATTGCTCCTTGAAAAGAGGCAGCCTATCCCTGCCTTGGACCCTGGTAGTCAATGACTGCCCAACGGACACATTGTAGCAGGAGTGATGTTTTATGACTTCTGAGGCCAGTCATGAAAAGTGACACCGCCGCTACCTGTGTCAACGTGTCCTCTCAGTGACAACACAGAAGAGGACACGAGAGAACAGAGGGGGACAGAAGGGGATAGAGGCAGCACAGGAGCCCTGTGCTTGGTCCCTTGACTCTCCCAGCACTGACACCACAGCTGTGACTGGGGAGCCCCCCAGTATACAGGCTCTGGCTCTGTGGATAGGATGCAGCTGCCCTCCAGCCCAGCCAAACTGCAGATGTGAGCAGAAAGAGGCTGTCACTGTTGGTTTCAAGTGCTACATTTTGGGGTGTCAGTTATTAGCGCTAAAGAATGGGAACCCCTCTGGAAATCAATGTTCAGCTCTTCAGAATTTAACCAGTCATGTACACACACATACATATACACGTGCATCCATAGCAATACTAACCAGTATTGCTACTGGCTTTGTTTCTTGTGGTTGAATAAAATTACTTTACATTCATATTGGAGTTGAGAATGCACAGAACTTTATGTGCTGTGGATTATAAACAGGTGTGTTGGAAACTGATGTACATGCAAATGGACATCCCTAGACTTACATTCCAAATTATGGGCACTCTGATTCTTTCAGATAGATTCATTTATTCAACAAAGATACAAAACCCATTGAGAAATTAATGGATAACAGAGTAGGTATATTTTTTATTTTAACAGATATCAAGAGGTAACTTTCCAATAAGATTACAGCAATTCGCACTCTCACAAGCAATGTATGAAAGTATCATTTCCCCACATCCTTGTTAGCAATGGATGCTATAAAAAGTTTTAGAATAGAAAAATTGTTCACTTTAATTTTCATTTCCCTATCTACTGCTGAAGTTGAACATAATGCTTATTGCCCATTCGTATTTCCTCTAATCTGAATTTCTATTCATTTCACCCAGCTAATAAGCCCCTCAAAAGAACTGTAGGAAGCCCTGGTCTACTGGGGACACTGCTCTGCACTGAGCTGGTGGTAGGGAGCTGAGTCATTTTGAAATATTTTCATTTCTAGGGAACCGATTATACCAGTTTTTCTTTTCCTTCCCAACATCTAGGTCTCCTATATTGTAACCTCCACTCAACGGTTATTGAAATGTTCTCCTGAATTTTATAGTATCTCATAATTACAAACATATTTAGAGTGGTAGTCCTTCTGAAGTCTATGTTCACTAACAATGGAGAAGAGGATCCCAGCTCTGTTGCCGCCCCACTTTGAATGCTCCTGAGTCATTGCTAGACACCTTTCTGTTTCACTGATTTTCTTGTACCCCCTGCATCAACACCCTTCTTTTGTAAGAACCAAGTGTACATAGTCAGGTTTAGCATCTTGAGGGCCAGTTCTTTCTCTCTGTATTCTTTTTCAAAATTGTATTGGCTACTCTCGGAACTTTCCTCTTTCAAATGGGTTATTATTTCCAATCAAGTTTGTTTGTATCTTTAATCTTTATTGTTTAAATTATTACAGATGTTCCTCTTTTTTCCCCCCATAGCTCCCCTTCACCCGGTTCCCACCCACCCCATGCCCTCACCGCCCCCACCCCCACTGTCCTCATCCATAGGTGTATGATTTTTGTCTCCAATCAAGCTTTAAGGAGCCTGGGGGGCAGGGTAGGGCAGGGTGGAATCAGCTCCTGGTATTCAGACTGCCTACATTATGTTCACACATTAATTTGGAAACTGCCTGTTGTATAATATTACATTTTTCCATTTAGGACATTGGTGTTTCTTCTATATTAGTGTTTTGGTTATTTCTTTCAAATAAATTTTATGGCCCCAATATAGGTTCTGTGGCTTCCTTGATAAATGTATTAATAAGCAAGTAAAGTTCACTGCCATTATAAATGTGGGTTTTTTTATTAACAGAAATCTTGCAGAGAAAAGCTATAGATTCTTGCATATCTGCCTTATATCAAATCCAAATCTCTTACTAATTTTAATAGTTAATAAGCAGTCACCTGAGTTTTCAAGGTATAAAATAACACCATCTATAACTGAAGATGTTTATCCTGTTTTGTTTCCCATTGCACCGCACTGGCAGTGGCCACAAAACAAAGTGGCCTAAGAATGGGCATAGTGGGCATTCCTGTCTCACCCTGCATGCGATGGAAACGCTGCAGTATGTGATCACCCAGTGTGAAGGCAGCTGTCGATGTTTGCAAATGGGCTGTCAAATGTTTCCATCATTTCCTTAAATTCCAATTTTACTGAGAGGTTGTTTTGGTTTTATTTCGGAGGAATGAGTGTCAAAATATAAAGAGACTCCTCACTATTCATTTTGTTGCTAACTATAAAATATATCACACTGATATAGCTGTCATAAAGCATGTTTTCAATTTAAGAATTATTATAAGGAAACAATCAATATAACAACCGTATTGGTTAAGGGTGGAGGTGGAGGGACTATGGGGGGATAAGGACACATACATAATACCTTAATCAATAAAGAAAGGAAAAAAAAATTTAGTCAAGAAGCCTGAAATAAAGATTTAAAACAAAAGAAAAAATGAAATAAACACTCAAGTGCCTCAGGATACCCTGCAGTCTCACTCCACAATGAAGCAGCATGCTGACTTCAATGAAAACTACTTCCTTGTCTTCTTTACCAACTACTTAAAGGTTCCAAAATAGTGCAGTTTGGCATGTTTTTAACTTCTACTGCCTATTTTCCTTTGCAGTTGCTTCTTTTAACCCCCACTCCCCAATATGTTTATGGGCTTCATTCATCCTTCCTGATATATGTAGATCTTCAGCTTTCCCCTATATGAATTCTGTTGGTTAGTATTGGAGTTATTGGCAGTTGAATGATACAACATACACTCTTGTGCACAGGCAAACACAAGTGCAAACATTCAAAGTTTCTCGAGGGCACTTGTGTACCTGAAGGAGAATTGCTGATTACCTATGACTTCTTCAACTTTACCAGGTAACACCAGCTGTCCATACTCCCACCATCTGAAACCTTTCCAACAATCGGACGTAGGTTAGGCTTTAATCGGCATTTCTGATTACTCCTGAGGTTGAGCCTCTTTCGTTTACTCGCTGACCATTAGGGTTCCCTTAAGAAATGCTTACTCAAGTCTTCAGCCCATTTTTCTACTGGGCTCTTTCTATTTTAATTATGTTGGATAACTTTCTGGTTACTTTTAAATTAATTAAAATTAAATTAAAAATTCAATCTCCCACTACTAGCCAGCCATATTTCACACTTCTCAGAGTTCTATGTGGCTAGTACAGTGGACACTATAGCCTCAGAACACTTCCATTATCCCAGAAAGTTCTTTCGGACAATGCTGCTTTTAGTTATTTGTGTCACACTTCTCTTCTTCCATTCAGTGGCTTGTCTATAATCTCTTCATGGTAACTTTTGATAAAATAAAATTCTTAATTTTAACAGAGTCCAATTTACTAATATTTTACTTTATGGTTGCAGCTTTTTGGTAGTTTTAGTGGCTTAAGAAATCCTTCCAATCTCGAGATGGTGACAATTTCCTCTATGATCTCCTAGAAGTGCTATAGTATTTGCCTTTCACGTTTAGACCTATCATAAACTGGAACTGATTTTTGTGCCCAATGTTGTGTGTCTCACACATGCTAAGAAACTGAGCCAGCATCATGACATGCAATGCTGTCTTTACCATAAACCTGGTCCGCCACATGCACATCTGTGCCTGGGCTCCATGTTCTGCTCTGTTCATCCAGCTGTCCACTTTTGTACCAAGTCATGCTCTCTTACTGATGAATGAATGCTTTACATTCATTCTTGATACCCTGGTAGGGCAAATCTTCCCACCTCATTCTTCTCTTTTAAGCATATTTTGAATCCCTTGGCCCTTTAAATCTGTATATAAATTTTAGAATTAGCTTGTTAAGCTACATACACACACACAAAAATCTAATGAAATGATGAATGTGCTGACTCTACAGGTCAATCTCAGGTGGGAAGAACTGACATCTTTACAATATTTGTTTCAAACCTAAGTAAGAAACTGTTCCTTACTATAATCATAAAAATAATCGTGTTATGTATTCATGAAAATAAAATAAATCTTACTTTGGAATGAGATCTATACCAAACCAGAGCTGTAAGTTATAATCTATGCCTTTGGATTTTATTATTTAATATCAGACACATTATTCGCCCAGTTCTACTTAATAGGAAACACAGGAAAAATAGGAAACATACCAATGTTAAGTTCTAAAATCAACTTTTATGAGACAATATAATTGATACAAATACTTGAGTGTATTGAGCTTACCTTGAATAAGTGGTATGTAACGTGCAAGCAGCTTTGCCTTTTTCTTTTCATATCCTTTCTGAGTGATGTCACCTAAAACAATGATGAAAAAGAATTATATTTCTTCTAAAGTTCCAAAATATTGTAATTAAAAATTAATTCATAATGGAAAAACTGGAAACACTAATGTCCTTCAACTGGTGATTGGATAAACAAACCATGACACACCCACACAATGAAATACTATTTAGCAATAAAAAGGAACAAACTATTCATACATAGAATAATTTAGATAGATCTTATATGCATATTGCTAAGTGAAAGAAGCCAGGCTCAAAATACCACTTACATGACATTCTGGAAAAGATAAAACTATAAGACAGAGAACAGACAGTGGGATTGCCAGGGGATGGGAGTGAAGGAAAGGCTGACTACAAAGAGGGACTAGAGAATTTGGGGGGATAGTGAAGCTGTTCTGTTTTCTACTTACAAAGAAAAAGTTTACTGTAAAACAATAGCCAATAAGCAGTCTCATACATCTCATATTTACCATCTCTTAATTGCATCATTTCTCTTGTGTCTGATTTAATCTCATGCTGTTTCGTACAGAACAGGCTGTACAGGCTTGTAGCCTAGGAGCAATAAGCGGTACCACACAGCCTAGGTGTGGTAGGGTATACCATCTAGGCATGTGTAAGCACACTCTGTGATGATCTCACAAGGACAAAATCACATGACACATTTATCAGAATGGGTCCCAGTTGTTAAGCAGTGCATGACTGTAATAAGCTATTAGAAAAGGGACCTGAATCCAAGTTTTCTGGCCAACAGCAGAGCCAAGTTCCCTAATACACCACAGATCTGCGGTAATCCTGACCCAACATCCATAGCTCCCAGGCACCTGGGGGACTCTGGAAAAACACCAGGGCCCACCTCACAACTAGCTTCTCTGGTAGTCTGAGGGATAACAGCTGTTTTTATTAGTCCCCCAGGTCGGTGATTTTCAACTGGTATGCGCAAGAATTGTTTTTAAATGCAATACCTGACTAATCAGGGCACTGACCTCTTTTCCCTTAGACTGTCAAATTTTTAAAAATGACAACAGCTAACACAACAATAGCCATCCAGTATGAACGAATCAAAATTACTCCTTTTTCCCTAGCCTGTGTGGCTCAGTTAGTTGGGTGTCATCCTGCGCAGCAAAAGGTTGTCAGTTAGATTCCCAAGTCAGGGCATATGCTCAGGTTGATGGCTCCATCCCTGGTAGGGAGCATTCGGAAGGCAACCGATTGGTGTTTTGCTTTCACATCTCTATGTTTCTCTCTCCCTCTCCCTTCCTCTCTTCAAAAAATAATTTTTATTACTTTATATCTTTCTTTTGTCACATTGGCAAAAAACGTATTTTTTGGTGTGCTGCAGGATTTTAGTAAGTAATGTATGTGTGCCATGAGATGAAAAAGGTTGAAAATCACTGCTCTAAGTAGGGATACAATGTGTGGCCTCAGGCTGACCTCCACTGTCACAAACCAAGCTCACTCGGAATTACAAATGCAAAATCCCAAATACAAAATCCCAAATCCTCCATATCCATGGGTTCCACATCCGCAGATTCAACCAACAGCTAATCGAAAATATTCAAAAAAATTATGTGGTTGCTACTGTGCACTATGTAGTTAGGTCTATGATGGTTGCATCTATATTGACTATGTATACTTTTTTACCTTGTCATTATTCCCTAAATAATACAGTATAAAAAGTATTTACACAGCATTTACATGTTATTAGGTATTATAAGTAATCTAGAGATGACTGCAAGTATATGGGAGAATGTGTGTAGGTTATATACAAACACTGCACCATTTTATAAAAGGGACTTGAGCATCTGCGGACTTTGGTATATCAAGGGAACCAGTACCCTACAAATACCAACAGAGAACTATAAATATCACCAAAAGCCCCAAACCCATCAACATAATTTCCAAAACCTACTCTTGAAAGCTCAAGAACTCCTCAAGGTCACAGAAACAAGGGCAGGCAGTGAACACTACTAGTATATGTAATAGCAAATAATGGGAGAAAACTTGAAGAAGAAGAAGAAGGAGAAGAAGGAGAAGAAGGAGAAGAAGGAGAAGAAGGAGAAGAAGGAGAAGAAGGAGAAGAAGGAGAAGAAGGAGAAGAAGGAGAAGAAGGAGAAGAGGAAGAGGAAGAGGAAGAGGAAGAGGAAGAGGAAGAGGAAGAGGAAGAGGAAGAAGAAGAATGAGGAGAGAGGAGGAGGGAGGAAGAAAGAGGAGGAGGGAGGAGGAGAGATGAGGAGGGAGGAGGAGAGAAGAGGAAGGAGGAAGAGGGGGGAAGGGAATGGAAGGGAAGGGGAGGGAAGGGAAGGAGAGGGGAGGGGGGGGGGGGCGGGAAGGGAAGGGAAGAAGGAAGAAAGAAGTAAAGATGCTGGCATACCTAATTGCTACAGAATACTGTTGGCCCGTAAAAAATACCATTATTGTCTGGCATATGCCCGGGTTTCGGGCTCAATCCCCAGTAGAGGGCATGCAGGAGACAGCCGATCAATGATTCTCATCATTGATGTTTCTATATCTCACTCTCACTCTCCCTTCCTCTCTGAAATCAATAAAGAATAGATTTTTTTAAAAAAATACCGTTATTGCCCTGGCCAGTGTGACTCAGTGGTAGAGTGTGGGCCTGCGCACCAAAGGGTCTCTGGTTCGTTCCCCGCCCAGTAGGTATTGGTTTGTGTAGGAGGCAACCAATCAATGTGTCTCTCTCACACTGATGTCTCTCTCCCTCTCTCTCCCTCTCTCTCTCTCTCTCTCTCTCTCTCTCTCTCTCTCCCTCCCTCTCTCCCTCTCCCTCTCTCTCCCTTCCACTCTCTATAAAAATCAATGGAAAAATGTGTGAAGAGTAACAATAACAAAAAAATACCATTATTTGAGGGGCAGGGATGTGGCTATCACATGGATTAATGATATCACACTGAGAAAAACAGGAAGTTGAAAAACAATGCATATACAAAAATGATCTAACTGGTAAAAATAAACAAAACTATATTTACACACATGTAGGTGTGTATATCTATGTGTATGCAGAAAATATTCTGGAGGGATGCCCAACAAATCACTATTACTGGTTACCCCAAAGAGTGGTTTATTTATCTGGCTTTGGGTAGGTGTGAGACAGATTTCACTTTTTATTTCAAACACTTTTAAATGCTTTAAAATTTTTAGCACAATAAGGATATAATCCTTTGTAATTAATAAAAATGGAAGATGGATGGGTAATGTACTATGGTTATATAAGATGGTACTGCAAAAAAAACTAAATGAATTCTATGTACTATTTTTGCAACTGTGAGACTAAAATTATTCTAAATTAAAAGTTGAGCCCTAACCTGTTTGGCTCAGTGGATAGAGCGTTGGCCTGCGGACTCAAGGGTCCCAGGTTTGATTCCGGTCAAGGACATGTACCTTGGTTGCGGGCACATCCCCAGTCAGGAGTGTGCAGGAGGCAGCTGATCGATGTTTCTCTCTCTTCGATGTTTCTAACTCTATCCTTCTCCCTTCCTCTCTGTAAAAAATCAATACAATATATTAAAAAAAAAAAAAAGCTGACTTTCACTGTCTTTACCTCATAATAATAAAAAGTTTAAAAGCTGAATATATAGGAGAGACTATATAAATTGGCTTTATTCCTTTCTTAAATGTTTGATAAAATTTGTCAGTGATATCATCTGGGCTTACAGATTTTCCAGAAGGTTGGTGTTTTTTTCTTGTGTTTTACTTTTTTTTTTTTTAAATATATTTTATTGATTTTTACAGAGAGGAAGGGAGAGGGATAGAGAGTCAGAAACATCGATGAGAGAGAAACATCAATCAGCTGCCTCCTGCACACCCCCCACTGGGGATGCGCCCGCAACCAAAGTACATGCCCCTGACCGGAATCGAACCTGGGACCCTTCAGTCCGCAGGCCGACGCTCTATCCACTCAGCCAAACCGGTCAGGGCATGTGTTTTACTTTTTTAAATTAAAACTTTATTTTTTTAAGAGAGGTTTAAGGTTCACAGCAAAATTGAGGGCAAGGTACAGAGAGTTCCCATATATATCCCTTACCCCCAAATATGCATAGTCTCCCCCATTATCAACATTCCCCACTAGAATAGTACATTTGTTACAATTGATAAACTACATTGACACATCATGATTATCCACAGTCCATACGGTTCACTCTTGGTGTTATACATTCTATAAGTTTGGACAGATATATAATAACACGTATTTATCATTATAATATCACAATTCGTGCTAAGGTACAAGCAGTTTTACCAATCTTTGCTTTTGTACCATCAATATAAACACAGGGAAAACAGAAATGACATCTTAGAATTATTTTGAAAATAGTTTTGTCTCACAGGCCCCAGAAAGGATCTCAGGGACCCCCAGAGGTTTGTGAACCATAGTTTGTGAACCACTGGCAGATTATGTCTGGAAAGAAACACAAGAAATAAATACTGGAGGCCACTGCCTCTGCATAGAGGCCAGGGGTAAGAGGGAGACTCACTGTACTCTATCTTTCCTTAGAAATGTTTCGTTTCTCTGCAATGTGTATCTGCAATACTTTTTTAATACAACATTTTGCAAAGCCTTATGATCAATGGAGAAGCAGAGCTAAACCAGACCTTTGACAGCCAAACCATTACCTAACACCCAGCAGGTTTGCAATCATTACTGGATAAATGAATATATTATATAAATAACAAATACCAAAAAAAAGGCAAGAACTCCAAAAGAGGGAGCAAGTTTGGTGAGAAATTTCAAGAAAGTAACTACATGAGAGATGATGATCAGGAAAGGCTCAAAATAAGAAGGCACTTGGGCTGGGCTTTGACATAGGTGAATAGAGTTTAGACTCAAGAACTTTAATTTACCACAAAATATTTAGGAAGCACAGCAAAAGTTTATTGATGTGAAGGTAATGTCAGTCTGTCATTTGGAAAACTAAGAATTATATCACAAATTTTAGAAATTAAAGACATTTCAATAGGAGTAAAAGCTTCGTGAAAGAAATCCTTTCCTCTACACCCACACACAGAGCTTTTCCCCTTTTCCTTTGACACTATACAGTCTGGGGCTCCAGTATTATCAGAATGCAGGAAAACAAAAACTAAAGTTAAAGCTAGGGAACCGATAATAACCAGAATAAAGAAACAGGAGTGGGACAAATGTAGCCTATTGTGTAGGGATTTCCTCTCTAAACCACAGCAGGCCACTAAACCAAAAAACAAATCTTGCACCATTGTCCACATTTTAAAAACAGTTTAGAAGCAATAGCCCCAAGACACTGCACAGTACCAAAATTAGTTGTGGTATATCTAAGGTAATTTGATAGTAAAGCCCATTATTTGGGAACTCTTTTTTTTTTTCCCCCTAAAAAGTCAGGTTATACTTCTAATAACCTCATTTTCATCCAAGGACATCCTAATATGCTTCAAAGAGCCACATACATGAATTCTTCTGAGTATGTTCATGGGGGGAGGGGGAGGGTCTGGGGAAGAGTGGGGTTCTGTGCAGCTTCACCCTTCATCCTCATCTTAATTTGAGGTAGACTCCTAAGTTAAGAAGGAAAGTTAGGGAGCAAGACCACAGCTTTGCTTTTTTTTCTTCAGAATCCGTAACAAAAGTCAGCAAACCTGCCCTATGGATAGAAATCAGTGCATTCTAAGACCAGACCCTTCCCCAATGACAACGGTGGATGACAAGAATCCAGTGAGGATGTTGAAGAACAAGGCCACATATGAGTTATAATAAAGGCAGGAACATACTTTCAACTAGTCACTGTTGATGTACAGGTTGAGGGGAAGTAGTGCAGGATTTTCCAGATTGTTCAGATACCAATCAATCATCAGCTTCCATGTAGGCAGCATTTTGTCTGTTAAGTTTCCTATTCTCTCCAATCTGCCAAGCAGTGTCAACTGTAACTTTTTAAAAAAGTATATTATTGCCCTAACCAGTTTGGCTCAGTGGATAGAGCAGCCGTGGGCAAACTACGGCCCGCAGGCCGGATCCGGCCCATTTGAAATGAATAAAACTAAAAGAAAAAAAGGACCGTACCCTTTTATGTAATGATGTTGACTTTGAATTTATATTAGTTCACACAAACACTCCATCCATGCTTTTGTTCCGGCCCTCCAGTCCAGTTTAAGAACTCAAGTTTGCCCACCCCTGGGATAGAGCGTCGGCCTGTGGACTGAAGGGTCCCAGGTTCGATTCCGGTCAAGGGCATGTACCTTGGTTGTGGGCACATCCCCAGTAGGGGGTGTGCAGGAGACAGCTGATCGATGTTTTTCTCTCATCGATGTTTCTAACTCTCTATCCTTCTCCCTTCCTTTCTATAAAAAATCAATAAAATATATTTTTTAAAAGAATGCTGGCAAATATTCTAGAATACCTAGGATAGCCCCCTCCACACACACAAAAAAAAGTATATTATTATTGATTTCAGAGAGGAAGGGAGAGGGAGAGAGAGATAGAAACATCAATGATGAGAATCATTAATCAGCTGCCTCCTGCACACCTGACACTAGGGATTGAGTCCACAACCCAGGCATATGTCTTGACCAAGAACGGAACCATGACCTCCTGATTCATAGGTCGACACTCAACCACTGAGCCATGCAGGCCTGCCTCGACTCTAACTTTTAAGCAATATCTCATTCAAACAAATGTGAGTACTGTGAAGTTATCTTATTTGACATTACTTTATTCTGAATTAGAAGTTTATCTCCCCCCCAAAAGAATTGGGGGAAGGAGGTGGCACAGGACAAAGTGAATCCCACTTTTTACTTTTATGTGATCAAAATATTAAAATAATGACAATGAAAAAAAAATAATGACAATGAAACTAACTTCCGTTGCTTTAGGACTGTGCTTCATTACTAACACCTTCCTTGAATTATATAAATAAAAGCTTACCAGTTTCAAAGAACTTCCACATAAACTATCTGACTAAATCTTCGTAAGAACTATAGGACATCAATATGGCAGGTGTTCACCTCCTTTTACAGATGATCAAATCCAAATTAAGAGATGTTATAATGCAGTGGAGATTCAGGGACACTTACCAGACACTGTGTGAAGATGCCAAAAATCTCCCTAAGTCACAGTCCCTATCGCAAAGCATCTTTAAGTACAATAGAGAGGCCCCATGTCAACAACAATCACAACACAAACTAAAGAAGCCAGCATCAAAGGTGTGGAAGCACCTGGGAGCAAGGCCAAGCATGACTGTATCCAAGTAATCACTGACCTATTTGGGCCAAAAGAAAGGTGTCAGGCCAGTGAAGAGCTGGGACAGAAGCCAGGGCTCCTCTCGCCTTGGCTGCAGCTTCACTGGGCTGTCCCTTCCCTTTAACACCTCGTTCACCCCTTTCTCAGCGTAAGCTACATTTCCAGGTTCCTTTCCACTTATATATACGTATGTATAAATCATCCACATATGTCTAAAATGACAAAAGTATAAATAGATTCATTAGACAAGAGGCATTTCTTTCACTGAAGTACTTTGTGTGTGTTCTGTCACACAAATTATGAAGTGCTTTGAGGAAAGGATCTAATCTTACCTAACCGTCAACTCCTAGAAAGTACTCAAATACACACACACACACACACACACACACACACAATTAGAGAATAACGAATACATGGGCACAAAAATTAGGAGCAATCTGCAAAAATATATTTCAAATGCATAAAATCTAAACTGCAGTGACATGATTTTCCCTGGTAAAAAGCTGTAACAAGCTCTAGCCTGTTTTGCTCAGTGGATAGAGCATCGCCCTCCAGACTGAAGGATCCCGGGTTCGATTCCAGTCAAGCAGGCTCCTCCCTGGCCCAGGCCCTGGTGCAGGAGGCAACCGATTGGTGTGTTTCTCTCACATTGATGTTTCTCTCTGACTTTCCCTCTCTCTTCCACTCTTGCTAAAAAAATCAATAGAAAAATATCCTCAGATGAGGATTAACCCAAAAAAGAAAAGCTATAACAAATTCAAGACAAATCGTTCCTGACAGAACCATTTCTAATTGGAGTTTTTCAGACTTCCCAAAAGCATCTAATCACCAAGAATTCTCAAATCTACCCATTTCTTACTGCACTTCCAATAAAAAAAAAAAAAAAAAAATGTGTCCCATACCACAGAACTTTAAAAATTTGCATGTTGAATTCAAAACAATTGCCAGTAGGTAGGTGTTGTATTATCTATGAAACAAAGACAACAATAGCACCTACCTCCCTAAGGTTGGCAGGATTGAATGAGTGAGTACAAGCCAGTGCGTATTTATTAGATGGTAGTAAGAATTCACTAGCCCAACCACCACGAAACATATCACCTGAAACCTAAAGTAAGAATATTAAGGCTATGAACTTTGAAGGATTCTAAAAGCTGAAGATGCACTTAAGTTTCAGAAACAAAGTCAGATATGAGGTGCTCTTCTTCAAGCAACGACATCAGACAGGACAATCAGGACACAGGTTTGGGGAGCAGTAACCTAGATGGCTAATGCCACCCGCCGCCACTGAAGCCGAATCACTCCAGTCTTTTTAACAAGCAAAACACCACTTATGGAACTTTTTTTAATTTCTGAAAATTCTATTAACGGGCCAACAACCTCGTTTTAAGTGCCTCCGTAGAGGGAGATGCCGTTCTAACCCACTTTCCAGGGGAGGAAACTGAGGCACGCACACGGAAATGGGCTCCCAGCCGGAGGCAGGTGCCTGGGTACAGCCACGCACGCGCGTGAAGCCCGGCCCCGCCGCCTCGGGCGGACCACCACCGCCTGCAGAGCAGTCCCTCCTGTCCGGGTTGCGCGCCAGAGGTCAAACAGCCCACCCCGGCAACCCGCTGGGCCCCCAAAGGTGCGAGAAACCGGAGGGGCCCGGGGACCCGAAGATCCCGGTGTGAGGGACCAGGCAAGCTCCCCGGGTGACGGCCCGGCGAGGCGGGGGTCCCGGGTCGGGGGTGAGGGGCGGGGCAGGGTGTCCGGTGTGAGAAGCATGGCGGGGGTCCCGGGTCGGGGGTGAGGGGCGGGGTGTCCGGTGTGAGAAGCATGGCGGGGGTCCCAGGTTGGGGGTGAGGAGCGGGGTGTCCGGTGTGAGAAGCATGGCGGGGGTCCCAGGTTGGGGGTGAGGAGCGGGGCAGGGTGTCCGGTGTGAGAAGCATGGCGGGGGTCCCAGGTTGGGGGTGAGGAGCGGGGTGTCCGGTGTGAGAAGCATGGCGGGGGTCCCGGGTCGGGGGTGAGGGGCGGGGTGTCCGGGTGTGAGAAGCATGGCGGGGGTCCCAGGTAGGGGGTGAGGGGCGGGGCAGGGTGTCCGGTGTGAGAAGCATGGCGGGGGTCCCGGGTCGGGGGTGAGGGGCGGGGCAGGGTGTCCGGTGTGAGAAGCATGGCGGGGGTCCCAGGTCGGGGGGTGAGGGGCGGGGTCCCCGGTCGGGGGTGAGGTGCGGGGCAGGGTGTCCGGGTGTGAGAAGCATGGCGGGGGTCCCCGGTCGGGGGTGAGGGGCGGGGCGGGGTGTCCGGTGTGAGAAGCATGGCCGGGGTCCCGGGTCGGGGGTGAGGGGCGGGGTGTCCGGGTGTGAGAAGCATGGCGGGGGTCCCGGGTCGGGGCGGGGTGTCCGGTGTGAGAAGCATGGCGGGGGTCCCAGGTCGGGGGGTGAGGGGCGGGGTCCCCGGTCGGGGGTGAGGGGCGGGGCAGGGTGTCCGGTGTGAGAAGCATGGCGGGGGTCTCGGGTCGGAGGTGAGAGCCGGGCGGAGCCCCGCGCAGGGCCGCTCACCTTCCGACAGCTCCAGCTCCAGTTCGGCCAGGCTCTCCCGCACCTCAGCGGGCAGCGGCATCGGCTGCAGCGGGCACCCGCGGTCGGCCATGGCCCCCTCGCCTGCTCCGGACGCGCCCCGCGACTGCCAGGCCGGCTCGAGCCCGGGCGGGTCCGGGATCAGGGTCGGGCCGGGGTCCGAGCGGCGGCGCGGACGGAGGCTACGTCGCTCCCCTCAGCCCAGCGACCCGCATCGGCCCGGAGGGCAGCGCGGACAGCAGGGCAGGGGCGCGGCCCGAGCGGCTCCGCACCGCCGCGGGCGCGGGCACGGGCACGGGCACGGGCACGATCGCGGGCAGCACCTCAAGCGCCGCCGCCACCCCGCGCGCCCCCGACAGCTCAGAGGGACCTACGGCGAGTGCGCGTGCGCGACGGGAAGGGCGGGAGGGGAGCGCGCGTGCGCATCGGGTCGCGGGCGGGGCTGGGACTCCCGGGCCCGCCCAGCAACACCGATGGCTCTCTCCCATTGGCCCCGAGGACGCGGCGAGGTCTCTCCGAGCTCCTATTGGGAGAAGCGGGAGAGCGTTACTCCCGGTAGGCTCTGCGCGGGGTCCGGGTCTCCTTCTGATCTGAATTCTCAATTGAGGCTCTTGGCGCGGGAACCCCCCCAAGGGCGAGGCTGCAGTGGCCCCCACACCTGGTCCTGGGGCCCGGGGAGTCTGCCTACCATGTGTGCCGCACTGCCGGAGCTCCTCTGGTTCCGGGCAGCCTGCTGGGACACCCTGGGCACAATGACCGTCCTGGCGTGGCGTTGCTGCGGGGGTAATCGCGGAGGTGTGGGCCAGGCGTTTTCCTCAGGGTTTGGTGTAACAGCCTTTGAAGGTATAATACGGACCACAGAGGAGCTAGGGCAGCCATTCAGATCATGAGATGACTTTGGGAAGTGCGAGGACAGTTGACCCATACATATCTACTACAGATCTCGTCCCCAGCTTCTAATTGTTTTCCTCCAGACCCTGAACAGAAAGGCCCACAGGATCCCCAGGGCCTCACATACACACGGGATGCGTATCTGCATATGCAAGGGGGGACCTGTTTGGTGGTCATTTCCCCGGTCCCTAACTGAATAATTGGCATTGACATTCTGGGCAGTTAACACTACTCTCACACTGAGTCCCTGACCTGTAGGTTTAGCAATCACAATAGGAAAGGCCACCCAGAACCCTCTGAAACTAACCCCATACCTACCAAGATCAGAAAATATCACATCCAGATAGCAGAGGATTGGTGCCACTTTTAGGCAAAGCGGTGGTCCCCAAAATCTGTTACCAGCATGATTCCTGCAGAAATTGGAAGGATCCTGGAAGATAACAGGATAATACTACTGCAAACTAAACTAAGTAGTAGCTCTGGTAACAGCCTCTGTGCTGGATGTGGTAGGTGGCTAATGACTTGATGAGTGTGTTCTTCTCTGTCCCTATCAGAAGATCAGACATATTTCACATTTAGGTGTAACAAAGATACAGTTTTGCCTGAAGGCTATGTTACTTCTCATAGTCCAAAGACATCAAGACCACTTAGACACCCTGGATAATGTTTACGTTGTTCCATTACATCAACATTATGTAGGTAAACCTCAAAATTCATGTACTGGTTACATCCATCACATTTTTAGGGTCCAGTAGTCAGTAGTGCCTTTGTGCATCCTTTCCAAAAACAAAAGACAATTAATGCAACTTGCACCTTCAACCATTCAGAAAGCAGGACACTGTTGGGACTTTAGGTTCTGGAAGCAGCATACTCCACACCTAGAAATACTGCTCTGGCCTAAATATTGGGTGATTTGGAAGACTGCAGCTTTGATAAGAGCTCAGAACAGGAAGCTTCTGTAATAGGTAAAAGCTGTGATGCAAGTAGCTCTCCTGCCTGGACTATATGGCCTAGCACAGTGATGGTGAACCTATGACACCTGTGTCAGAGGTGACACGCGAACTCATTTTTTTGGTTGATTTTTCTTTGTTAAATGGCATTTAAATATATAAGATAATATCAAAAATATGTCTGTTTTACTATGGTTGCAAATATCAAAAATTTTCTATATGAGACACGGCACCAGAGTTAAGTTAGGGTTTTTCAAAATGCTGACACGCCGAGCTCAAAAGGTTTGCCATCACTGGCCTAGCAGGTGGTATTAGTTATTGGTGGCAGGGAACAATGCAATGTGGAGTTTCTGGCATGTCCCAGTAGGAGATCCAAATGCAGGATCCTGAGGTTCTGCCATGGCACTGGGAGCAGAGAATTACGTACCTTTTTATTTGGGGGGGGGGGGTGATGTGTGGAGAGGTATCCTGGTGTGCTACTGTGTTCCAATAGAGAGAGATGGAACACCTGAACTGGAGACACCAAATAACCATGCAGCTAAAACCACCCCATTATGAGTGGGTTCTGTCAAACTCACCACATCATAAGGTTGGTTGGGCCCAGCATTAATCCATCATAGGATGGAAGTATTCAAGGCTGAGCATGAAAATGTACAGCAGTCAAAGGTGAGTGCAGAATAGGTATCCTAGACCCATATGGCATCCACTGCAGTTGTATTAGAGCCTTCTTTGTCATTTCATACCTATGACCACATGGGGGAGACTTATGACCAGTTACTTGACAGAAGAGGAAAACTCAAGCTGGGTTCATAGATGGGTTGGCTTGATATGTGAGTTCAAAAGGAAAGTGGAAAGCAGCTACATTACAGCCTTACTTAGGTAACCTTGAAAGATACTGGTAAGGGCATATCCACCCAACAGAGCTCCTAATCATTCACTTTTTTGTGTAAGAAGTGGCCCAAGAGGAAACTATATATGGATTCATGGACAGTGTTGTGTGGGCTGGGTGACTGGTTAAGGGTCTGGAGAAAAAGAATTGGAAGTTGGGGACGAGACCTGTGGTAATAATCTGTAGGTCAATATACTGGAATAGGTTCCAAGTGGGATGATCTTTGTATAAAGTGCTAATGCTAATGCCCACCACAGAGCATCCATGAAATATTTTTTTCCCCCATGAAATATTTTAAAACCAAGTGGAATGACTCACACAGTGGACAATGGGCAGCATCTCATTGGCAAACCCAGTACTGAGTACAAGGACAAAATGGCCAAGATGGTGGAGTTGGAGGCCATTCATGGGCCCAACAGTGTAGATTCTCTGACCAAAGCTGACTTAGCTCCTAGCAGCCACTGGATGTCTAACCTGCTAGCAAAAAGACCAATGCTGAGCTTCCAATATGGCCCTTTTCATCAAGAAGCCCAACCAAGTTTACTATATTGAAACTCTTTCATCCTGGATGAGCCAGCAGTTCTTTCCTACAGGAATAGATTCATATTCTACATATAAGTTTGCCTTTTCTGCTCACAAGTGCCACCAGCAAGTGCTTCAGGAGTACTTGTTTCACTGACACAGGATCCCATATGGCATCACATCGAATGAGATTCACTTAGAAAAGGAAATGCAGGGATCATGAGATCCACTGCCTGATAGAGCATTGGGACAGGCAGCTAAAGGCACAGCTGAAGCACCAAGTTAGAGGTCACACTCTGTGAAGATGGGATGCCATTCAAGACCTTTATATGGCACTATGCTCCCAATAGGGAGGATACATGAGTCTAAAATCAAAGGGTGGAAACAGGAGTGGCCCCACTTATCATTCCTAAGAATCCCCTGGGAACATTGTGCTTCCTGTCCTCCCAAGTTTAGACTCTGCCAGGCTAGAGGTTATGGTCCCCAAAAGGGACACTCACCAGGGACACCAGAACTTATTCCATTAGGTTATAAAGTATGGATGATGTCTGGGAACCTTGGAGTCCTTGTATCTAGGAACCAGCAGGAACAGGGAGGAGCCATGTCTTGGCAGTGGAGAAGGTAGGGCTGCTATTACATGCATTACACATAGGGAAGAGTATGTGTGGAACCCAGATGATCCACGTGGGAGGTCTTGGTCCTCCTTTGCTCAATTGTGATTAAGACAGTAAAGCAGTGGTTTTCAACCTTGGCTGCACATTAGAATCACCTGGGAATCTTTTTAAAATCCTGATTTCTGGGCCTCATCCTCCGGACATTCTGTTTTTTTGTTACTCATGTTATAGCCCCACCTTATAACAAAGAAACAGAATTTCTGGAGAATGAGGCCCAGAAATCAGGATTTTAAAGATTCCCAGGTGATTCTAATGTGCAGCCAAGGTTGAGAACCACTGCCTTATAACATTTTTCTCAATACCAATTAGGAAAGGTGATTAATGCAATTTCAGATATCAGAGACAGGATTATACTTTCACTACCTTATCTTAGGGCCTTTGTTTAGACATTGTAATATCATTTTGATCCATTACTTTATAGACATCATAGTAACTGGTCCTAGTGAGCAGGAAATGGTAAGTACCCTCAAGCCTTAGTAAGATGAGTGCTGGATGGTAAGAGATGAAAAATCAGGGGCCTGCCATTTTGGCAAAGTTCTAGGAGTTGAGCAGTCTGTGGAATGTCACAGTATCCCTTCTATACAGAAGACAAGTAACTACCCATTACACAGCCTACAACTAAGTCACAAGGCTTAGATTGTTTGGATTTTTGTATACAACCATATTTGGGGGTGCTACTCCAGTCTATTTACTGAGGAAGTCATAGGCTGTTAGTTTCAAGTGAGACCTGGACAATAGATTTCAATGATGCTTAAAGTGCCTTTGCAATTAAGGATAATGGGTGGTGCCTCACTATAAAGCCCCATTACGACAGACTTCCAGGGCCTTGACACAAAGCCTTGACTCCTTCTAACTCATTCTCCGTTTGAGAAACATCAGCCCTGGCAGAGACCAAACTCCTACCCATGGGATACCAAGTACTATACAACATATACTGGGTGCTGTCTGATCACTATCAGCCAGAAGGAGCACACCTAATGGAGAGTGGAAAGCCTACCTTCTGAAGATGCACTTGTAGTGCTATTTCTCCCACAGCCACAGAACGTAGATCAGTCTGGAAGCCCAAAGGGTAGAATGGCCCTTCTTAAAGGAATTTTTGCTTCCCATCCTATGACTTCGGCCTCTGCTATCCCAAGATATGATAATGGTTTCTTTGAACGAGTGAGACTCATCTGAACCAGCAAGCAATGATGGGGTTACTGTACTGGTTGGTGCAATTGATCCCAATTACTGAGGGGCACTCCATGAGGACAGGAAAATCTGTACCAGTAACCTGTTCCATGGGCACCTCTTGGTGCTTAGTTCTTCCAAGTTTAGTTGTAAAATAAAAAGTTCTCCAATAACAAGATTAAGGTCTCAAATCTTTCAGAAAGAAAAAGTTTAGGTCACCCACCCAGCCAACGTGTTTGCTCACTGAGATTCAGAAACAGGGACCAGGTGATGGAA